TCTTCTAAAAGTATTGCACCAAATCCTTATGCAAGACCAATGACGGGCAAGTGCTTCAAATGTGGTGAACCAGGACACCGCTCAAATGAATGTCGAGCTAGAAAATCTGTCAACCTTGTGGAGGAAAAAGATGAGTTTGACGAAGAGGGAGTCACTAATGAAGATGAAGTAGAGGTTGCCGAAGAAGTCGGAGAACACTTAAATTGTGTTGTACAGAGGCTTCTGTGCACTACTGAAAGAAATAATCCTGCCCAAAGAAACAACATCTTTCGAGCTCATTGCAGTGTACTGGGAAAAGTTTGTAAACTTATTATTGACAATGGCAGTTGTGACAACATTGTATCCAAGGCACTTGTGCAACGTTTAGGACTGCCAACTAAGCCTCACCCGAAGCCTTACAAATTGGGTTGGATAAAAGAAGGGCCATCTGTTATAGTGATGGAGGTTTGCCGTGTGCCGGTTTCTATTGGGAAGAGCTACCAAGACACTGTGACTTGCGAAGTCATTGACATGGATGCATGTCATATTCTTTTAGGAAGACCATGGCAGTTTGACGTAGATGCTATTTACCATGGGCGGCAGAACACTTATGAATTTTTGTGGAAAAGTAAAAAGATATTAATCCCTCCTATTTCTTGGAATGTTGCAGACCAAAGAAAAACATGTGCTGTCACTGCAAATTGGAAGGAATTTATTGCAGAAGCTAAAGACTTCAAAACTATCCTGCTAGTGGTGGGTAAGGAAATAGACTCTCAATATTTTGTTCCTGATGAGCTGAGATCTTTGCTAAAGGAATTTTCAGATGTTACACCAGAAGAACTTCCTGATGGATTGCCACCTTTAAGGGACATTCAACACCAAATAGATTTGATACCCGGAGCAAGTCTACCTAATCTCCCACATTACCGCATGAATCCCGTGGAGAATGAGGCTGTAAATAATATAGTTGTTGAACTCTTACGGAAGGGATTTATTCAAGAAAGTAAGAGTCCATGTGCTGTGCCGGCATTACTCGCTCCAAAAAAGGATGGCAGTTTTAGAATGTGCGTTGATAGCCGGGCTATTAACAAGATCACCGTCAGGTATCGTTTCCCAATTCCGCGATTGGATGACATGCTAGACCAACTCCATGGTGCTACTGTTTTCTCAAAAATTGACCTTAGAAGTGGATATCACCAGGTGCGTATTAAACCTGGAGACGAATGGAAAACCGCTTTCAAAACCCGAGATGGTCTTTATGAATGGTTGGTAATGCCGTTCGGGTTGTCCAATGCTCCTAGTACTTTCATGCGGCTCATGAATGAAGTCTTAAGGCCTTTCAATGGCAAGTTCATTGTTGTATATTTTGACGACATTCTGATATATAGTCAGAACCAGGAAGAACACCTAAGGCATCTAAAGTTGATATTGCAGACTCTTCAGAAACACAAGTTGTACATCAACTTAAAAAAATGCTCTTTTATGGTTGAAAAACTTGTCTTTCTTGGCTTTGTGATTAGTGCAGATGGAATACGAGTTGATGAAGAAAAGGTGAGGGCAATACGAGAATGGCCGACTCCAACGACCGTGGGGGAAGTTCGAAGCTTTCAGGGTTTAGCCACCTTTTACAGAAGGTTTATTAAAGATTTTAGTAGCATTGCAGCTCCCATCACTAATTGTTTGCGTAAAGGAAATTTCAAATGGGATGAGGTGGCTAATGCTAGCTTCAATGAACTAAAGGAGAAAATCACATCTGCCCCTGTTCTTGCATTGCCAGACTTTAACAAAGTTTTCGAAGTTGAATGTGATGCCAGTGGAGTGGGAATAGGTGCTGTGTTGTCTCAAGAAAAGAAACCAGTGGCATTCTACAGTGAAAAACTAAGCCCAGCTCGTGAAAAATGGTCTACTTATGAACAGGAACTCTATGCAGTGGTACGAGCTTTGCAGGTTTGGTCTCATTATTTAATGCCTCGTGATTTTGTGATTTACTCAGACCATGAAGCTTTAAAATACTTTCAAAATCAGAAACACATGAACAAAATGCATGCAAGGTGGTCATCTTTCCTTGAGCAATTCTCCTTCGTGATTAAGCATAAATCTGGAGTATCAAATAAAGTGGCTGATGCCCTTAGTAGACGAAGGAGCCTGTTGATCACATTGCAAGGAGAGCTCATTGGGTTTGAACTACTAAGGGACCTCTATGATTTTGATGAGGATTTCAAAGAAATATGGAAGAAAGCTCAACAACACAACTCAACTCAAGACTTTCATATTTTAGATGGATATCTGTTCAAAGGAAATCGCTTATGCATCCCAAGGACATCTTTACGGGAAAAGCTCATTAGGGACTTGCATGGTGGAGGTTTAGCAGGGCATATGGGCAGAGATAAAACGATTGCTAGCCTAGAAGAGAGGTATTATTGGCCACAATTGAAGAGAGATGTGGCCACCTTTGTGAAGAGATGCTCTATTTGTCAAACCTCTAAAGGGCATGTGCAGAATACTGGTCTTTATAAACCTTTGCCAACTCCAGAGAATATTTGGGAAGATTTATCCATGGACTTCGTGCTTGGCCTTCCCAAAACACAGAGGGGAGTAGATTCGGTGTTTGTGGTGGTGGATCGGTTCTCCAAAATGGCTCATTTCATCCCTTGTAAAAAAAACTTCTGATGCTGTTCATGTGGCCCGACTATTTTTTCAAGAGATTGTTCGTCTTCACGGTGTCCCTCGATCCATAACATCTGACAGAGATTCAAAATTTCTCTCTCACTTTTGGACGACTCTTTGGAAGCGCTTTGATGCAAGTTTGAATTTCAGTAGTTCTGCGCACCCACAAACGGATGGTCAGACTGAGGTCACAAATCGTACTCTCGGGAATTTGATCCGGTGCATTTGTGGAGAGCATGTTAAGCAGTGGGATTTTGCTTTGTCACAAGCTGAATTTGCATACAATAGCTCTGTTCATATGTCCATTGGGCGTTCTCCATTCTCTGTTGTGTATACAAAAACTCCACGCCATGCTGTAGACCTTCTTCACTTACCGAAGGTTGATGGGATACACAAATCTGCCTCAAACATGGCTGAACAAGTCAAGAATGTCCATGAAGAAGTTAAGGCAAAGTTGAGCGCTTCAAATGCCAAATATAAAGCTGCAGCCGATAAAAAGCGCAGACAACAATTGTTTCAAGTTGGAGAACATGTGTTAATATACTTACGCAAGGAGAGGTATCCTGCAGGCACTTTTCACAAACTCAGTCCAAAGAAATATGGCCCATTTGAGATTCTACGAAAGATCAATGACAATGCCTATGTCGTGAACATACCAGATGACTGGAAGATTTCGAAAACCTTCAACGTTGCGGATATCTTCAAGTTTTATCCTGGCCAAGAGTTGTATCCAGATGAAGCTAACTCGAGGACGTGTTTTTCACAGGTAGGGGAGTATGATGGCGTTCACACCAGCAACACAACACAAGGAACCTGAGTAATATCTGTTTGGAGGCTCAAGAATCTTTTCCCTAGATTATATTAAATGCATTTTCATTTTCCATGTGTCTTTTACAATTCCTAGAATTTGAATGTTACGTTGCTTTGTTTTATGCCTATATATTAGGCCATTTTGTAACCAGAAGAGGGACTTGAAAATTATTATGAATGTACTTCCTGTTTTGTTCTAATGAATCATTAGAATTCTTTGTTCAGCTACTGCGTTCTGCATCATACATATACCCCAACTACACTTCAATCACCCCTAATTCTTTTGGTGTAAACCACAATGTGGTTTCTCTGTCGGTTTAACGGTCCAGGTCCACCCAATTCGACGATCCAGGTCCATCCAATTCGCTCCGAGAGGCACAGAAGCTGGCCCAATGGGAATCGAACCCAGGTTATCCTGGAATTCCCCCCATAAAAAAAGCTCATTTGCCACTTGAGGTACCCTGTTGAGTTTCAATTACCCCTAATAGTTATACTTTTACCATAACACAAATTTTTATCACATATCTTGTATTGTTGCTTAGTCAAATTAAAAGACTAAAATAGTGAAAGGAAGAAAAAACAAAAAAAAAAAACAAAGAGTAACGTTATACACCTTTAGAAGCGTGTAACTTCATATTAATCATTACTTTTTTTTTTTTTTGAAAGTATTAATCATTACTTAATATAAAATAAAGTATGAAACATGGAATTGAAGGTTCTCGAATTTCAATCCCAATTTGGTCATTCAAGAAACATGGAAACTAATTAATTCCCCCAAAAATATCAACACAAATGAAAAGGATATCATGAAAAGTTTGTGGTTTCAATCAAATTGAGAATGTAAGTATATATGCCATTTAAATCAACCACAAATTGTGCATGTGCTTTTAGGAACTTGGACCACTTAGTTTGCATTCACAAAATTTTTAAAAATCTGCAATATTTATATGATTAAATTAATATCATAAGATTTTATATACATTAAGTATTTGTAAATTAAACTATTTCATCAAAAAGTGTATTGTTCAATAATTGGGCTTATTCCAAGGTGTTACTGTTTCGAAAGCGAATAAGTAGTCAAGTAAAAAATTGTGAAAGCGACAATCATAGTGGAACAATTGTACAAGTACTTAAGTGTAGTATGACATTGTAGACATACGTGGGGCTCGGAAGCGCAAAGCAAATAAGATTGAGACGATGTATACTTGGGATAATGTATTTATTAATATCAATTATCTCACCAATTTGACTAAGATATTTTTGTACAATTGTGCTAAATCTTTCTTACCTTAAAAGAAAAAAAAAAAGAAAAAAAAAACATTTTCGGATTCCAACTTTTTGAACAGACGGTACAGGTCCAGATTTTCAGCCGGGATTCCACAAAGGCCATCTTTCGTGCGCCACGGGTATGGCACGCGCTCCGTCCTGATAATTAATCCAGGTTATCCACGTGGCCACTGATCTAACGGTGGCCATACTTCCGAACTACATTCCATATCTAATATATCTTCCGCCCACTCCCCATTTCTCCGCACTGATACCATTCTCTCTCTCAATTCTCTCTCCGGCGATACATACACACATCCGTCGATATGCAAGCCATGCTTCTCAAAGCAGCTTCGGCTTTTCCTCTGTTGAATTCCCATGGGGATCATCTGAGTCCCCTGTTTTCCTCTGCTTCGTCGCTGAAAGGTCTTCCGGCCAAGGCCGGAAATGGAAATGCGCTCGTGGTTTGTGCTTCCAAGGGCTCGAACAACAAGCCGTTGACCGGCGTTATTTTTGAGCCGTTTGAGGAAGTGAAGAAGGAGCTCAGTATGGTGCCGAGTGGCCCTCAGACTTCTCTTTGCCGCCAGAAGTTCGTCGACGACTGTGAAGCTGCCATCAACGAACAGATCAAGTGAGTCTTCTCGAAATTTAAGCTTTGAATGCGTATTTCTTCAGGAAATTTGGATATCTCGTTTGCTTTTTAGGAAATTGTTATAGATTTGCGTTTGTTGCTACTGGCTTGTCTACTGACTCTCTTTGATGCGATTGCAGTGTTGAGTACAATGTTTCGTATGTTTACCATGCGATGTATGCTTATTTCGATAGGGACAACGTCGCTCTCAAGGGTCTTGCCAAGTAAAAAATCTCTCAAATCTCTGATACTTAAACGTGTATTCCTTTTTTGATACCTATTTAATACTATATAATCTTGGCTTGTTTTCATCTTCATAAAGGTTTTTCAAGGAATCTAGCGAAGAGGAAAGAGACCATGCTGAGAAACTGATGGAATATCAGGTGTTTGAACAAATGTCCCTTAGACATTTTAAAAAAATATTCATCCATTTCTTATTTTCTTTTGTCATTATTATTTGTAATTAAGTGGGCGTAAGTAGTACTAAGTTGCATCGTTTACCTGCATTAGAACAAACGAGGTGGAAAAGTTAAGCTGCAGTGTATTGTGATGCCTCTCTCTGAGTTTGATGATGCTGAGAAGGGAGATGCATTGTATGGTAAGATTTGTTTCCTGACATTTTACCTTATCCTTTTTGAATTTTACAGTCATAACTCATATGCCATAGCTTTTATTTTATCTTGTAAATGTGTGGTTCCCTAATTTTGATGTCAGTGCATACATTCAAATTTCTATCTAACCAAAAATTGACAACTTTGGGACCATTTTTAGCTTGTACTTTGTGGAAATTGAACCTGTTTTCTGGAGTTGTCAATTCCATGTAATAGTGTAGATGCATTGCGCTATGGGTCAATTTTCTATGGACTTCTGTAAGGATGTAGTTTGTATGTACTTAATTCACATTTTTTACATTACATTTATGCTGTTAATGATTTATAGGTGTTTTTGCAACTGAATGTGTTATAATTCAACTTATTGTCCAAAGATGTGTAAAGATGTTGGTTTGGACGATTCCAAACAGTTTATATTGGATGTAGGCCTCTTAGAACTACATTTCCTGTTACTGATTATGGTTCACAGTTCTAATTCACAACACATAGACATGCTTCCAATTCAACAAAAAAAATTGCTTGCATAGATTTTGAGCTTTATTCTCACCTAGAGACAGATTAATTTGACATATTGTATGTGAATTTGTTTGACAGCCATGGAGCTTGCACTTTCCTTGGAGAAGTTGACTAACGAGAAGCTTCTAAATTTGCATGCTGTAAGAAATGCTCTACTTTTCGTCTTTCGGTTAACTCTTTTTTTTTTTTTTTTGTTTTTCACTGTAGTAATAAATTCAATTATATGGGCTTTAGCTGAAATTGGTTTCTAAACTCATCATAAAGTTCCAACTTCTAGAAAATCTGTTTCATTTCTCAGAGAGTCTTAAGTACGAGATTGGCTATACATATTACTTTATGTGCCTTGGGTTGATATACCTCATCTCTACACTAACAGGTGGCTGATCGAAATAATGATGTTCATTTGGCTGACTATGTTGAAGGCGAGTTCCTACAGGAGCAGGTTTGCGCTTTTGTCATACTCTATGCAGATGTCCCTAAGTACACATTAATTCTTACTGATTGACGACTGTTTGCTACTTGTCCTGTTAGGTGGAATCAATCAGGAAGATATCTGAGTATGTGGCCCAGTTGAGAAGAGTGGGCAAAGGACATGGTATGTTCTCTGCTTCTATTACACGTCCCTTTCAAATATGTATTCATCGTGTGATTTGAGAAGTTTGCTTATTCCGTCCTCTTACCATCTCTATTTGTTTGTGCTCTTAGGCGTGTGGCACTTCGACCAGATGCTCCTCAACGGGGAAGCAGTAGCTGCGTGATAGGAGAAAGTTAACATTAATTTGACTTTCTGAATTGCTTGTTCCTCCCGGAGAATGATGATTTGCTCCCCATGATGGTACTAGAGATCTTGGATGTTTAGTTTCAGAAGCTTGTGAGAAATGCTTATTAGGGAGACTAGTCTAGTCAATTAGTTTTGAGTTTCTATCATGTTTTGAGTGAGTTGGCTTCTTGCCTAGCTTGCTTCGACTCTTTGTGGTGTAGCTCAATTTGGAAAAGTACCAATCAAGCTCTTCTTCTTCTTCTTCTTCTTTTTGTTTTTTTGTTTGGTTCCTTCACTTAATGACGCCATGCCAACAAACTACAAATTACCTTTGATCAAACCCTTTCTTGCAATAATATACCTTATTTAATACTCCGTAATAGATTAAACTTTCCATTACAGAAAAATGGTACTATGGCAGTGCCTCAATTTCCATTTTAACAGTGGTTGATTTGGCACGACTCCATATATGGTGCAAGGTTAGACCACAATCCCATTTATGGAAGTAATTTAGATCAACCCGCACATATCAACTTGAGGTGGTTTACTTGACATTACTAATCTTTTAATTTTTTTTAAAAAAATTGTAATCATTATTTGAAGGTATGTTATAAATGAAGCAAGTTTTGTAATTCTAATCGAGTTAATATACAATTCTTACGAGAAGTCGATCAATAGACGACTCTCATGAGAAATGTAACTTAGAACTTTGTGATCTCTCATGGGGAGTCCAACTTAAAAACTTATAAAGCATATACAACTTTTATAGATAGTCTAATTTAGAACTTTATAATTACCAAATTAATTACCTGACTAACTTAGTTGGATTACTGGCACTACTAATCTAATATGGGGCAATTGGGCTTGTATATTGGGTTTGCAATGCTAACACTTGCAGGTTGTGGCGAGCCTTATCAAAATGCTCAAGCCCATTAAACTCGGCAAATTATGTTGTGCAACCGTGTGTATCATGCATGGTGCACACTGTTCTATATTCATAATTACTGAATTATATGTTCATAATTATAAAGTTATATATTCATAATTTTTGAATTTCATATTCATTATTATTAAACTCTATATTCACAATTACAGAACTCTATGTTCATAATTTTTGAGGTTCATATTCTTACTTGTTGAACTCTGTATTCACAAATCACATAATTATATGTTCATAATTTGATAACTATACAGTTTAGAAATTATGAATCTACATACAAAAATTATGAATCTACAATACATATATTATGAATCTACAGTATAGAAATTATAAATCTATTATATAAAAATTATGAATCTACTGTATTTAAATTATGAATCTACGATTTAAAAATTATGAATCTACAGTATAAATTTTATGCATTTACAATATAAACATTATGAATATATAGTATAAAAATTATAAATTTATAATATAAAAATTATAAATTGGAACCGTCCATGAACATTTCTATAAGGAGTAATGAATAAGAAAATGTTATGTCACAAACAAATACTCCATTTGAACGGCAGAAAATTTAACTGTAACTAACAATTGCGATTAGAGATTAGAGCGACTGCAAGGTCGCTATCCACCTAAATTCACTGCTCAAAAAAACCCCATTTCTATCGCCGGTCTCTCAAAAACCCTCACAGGGACCAAACCCTAGTTCAGCGACCATGGCGACCAACACTCCGAACTTAGAGTGCCGGATGTACGAGGCTAAGTACCCCGAAGTGGACCACGCGGTGATGATACAGGTGAAAAGTATGGCTGACAGCGGCGCCTATGTTTCGCTCCTCGAGTACAACAATATCGAGGGGATGATTCTCTTCTCCGAGCTCTCTCGCCGCCGGATTCGTAGCATCAGTAGCTTAATCAAGGTGGGCCGAATCGAACCCGTTATGGTCCTTCGGGTTGACAAGGAGAAGGGTTACATCGATCTCAGCAAACGCCGGGTCTCCGAGGAGGATATTCAGGCTTGTGAAGAGAGGTATAATAAGAGCAAGCTTGTTCACTCCATTATGCGCCATGTCGCGGAAACCATGCAAGTCGATCTCGAGGTTAGCTCAATCTTCCTTCGTATTTGCCAATAGCTATGCGATGGCCGAGACGTGGAATTTAGAATGTGATTTGTGCGAGTTAATATGAGGTGCCTGGACTCTGTAAATTTGAGGAGCATTAAGCATTTGCAATTTAATTTTCAGAAGTAGGAATGATTAAGTAGGCTTGATATGAATTTCCGCATAAACACTCTTTAACCCTTTGTTACATGAGGAATTCCTTGTTAGAAGTTATGTAGCTTGTTTAACATGCGTTATAAGCCATTGTTATAACACTTTGTGAAGATTTATGAGGAGTTTTGTGAAGCCTAAACGAATGTAGCTTTGCTCATGAATGTGCTACTTAATTCTTATAGCTTTTTTTGGTGTGGATTTGGTTTTGCTTCATTTGAAAGTTGGAAATCTGAAGGAAAGCCCTTTTTGAAGGGCGGGAGAATGCATACGGAATTGCTCTTCCTTGCATACATGCCCTATCTGTTTCTACTTTCTCTTCTTTGGAAGTGAGCTTATATTTATATGTGTTTGTATTCAACTACACTTGGTTAGCTTAATTGGTTTAAGTTTGAAAAATATGGTTCCGGTTAGTTGTGTTGCTGCTCTTTGTGCATTACCTACTTTCTGAATTGATGTTGAAGCCTTGTTTCAATGCTGCATGGTTATACAAACAGTTTTATGTGAGAATATGTAGTAATCCACGTTACTTATAATTGCAGGATCTTTACATCCATGTTGGTTGGCCTTTATATAGAAAATATGGTCATGCTTTTGAGGTGAGAATCATCAATATTCAAAGATTCTGTTTGCTATCCACTAGTTAATAAATATTTGTAACATGTTACTTGTATGTTTTTTGGTTTGCTTCCAGGCTTTCAAGTTGGTTGTTAATGATCCAGATTCTGTTCTAAATTCCCTCACCCGTGAAGTTAAAGATGTTGGCCCTGATGGGAAGGAGGTAATCTTTGCTTTTTTTGATGTTCATATGACTACTTTTTTTGCATTGAATGGTAAATGAGATTATATTATGTTATTATTCTTTTAGGTAACTAAGGTGGTTCCCGCACTATCAGAGGAAGTTAAAGATTCTTTGGTAAAAAATATTAGGAGAAGAATGACACCACAACCACTGAAGATTCGGGCTGATATTGAGATGAAATGTTTTCAATTTGATGGTGTTCTTCACATTAAGGTTTTTCCTTTTGCATTCTCATTGCCGTGTTAACCAGATGTATTTAGTTTTTAAAAGTAGCAATATAGTGTATGTTACCTAGAATTGAACTTTTTTTTTTTCATTCACTTTTACAATTCAGGATGCAATGCGTAAAGCTGAAGCTGCTGGTAATATCGATTGCCCTGTTAAAATTAAACTTGTCGCCCCTCCAGCATATGTTCTCAACACTCAGACTCTTGACAAGGTATTAGCTTTTGTGCATAGGCATTGTTTAGTAGCCTGGATATATCCTAAGTTAAGTGGGGAATGTAGAATGAAAGCAGACCTTGACAGATACTCTGGAACAAGAAGTAGACATATCACATACTTTTCTCTATTTCTTAAATAGATGTGTATATACAGTCATGGGCATCAAGTCTTACATGCTAGATTGCTAACCTTCTTCTGCCTCTTCTTCAGTTTGCTTCATTTGTAAACTTTTTATTCTTGAACTTTATCATGTAGATACATTTAGTTCAGTTCTCCACTGCCAAACATACTCCCCCCACCCCAGTGCCTATGGATGGTATATTACTTTCAACCCCACAGATTCTTTGTTTTCTCTATGTAGAATTCAGTGTAAAATAAAGCCTGGCACTTGAACGTCTCTACTGCCACATCTCTGCAGCTGTTTCTCTCATGCTGTACTTTCCTTCATTTTCTAATGTGCCTGCTCCTTCCCTTCTTATCAAAACTTGACCTACTACTGCCTAGTATTGATATATAATGTCAATTGCTCCTGTATTGAGCATTAAAATAGTAATGTGCACATTTGTGAAGCCATTTCATGCCGAATATATGTGATCTGGATTTTCTGGTTTTAATATGGCCATTTTTTCATTTGTTTGTTGGCTGCTAGCTGTGTCATATATTGATTTTCCTACATCCAATGTTTTTACGTGACTTATGGTGTGCTGTATTTCCTACTGCAGGAGCAAGGCATAACTGTCCTTAATCAAGCAATTGCAGCTTGCACTGAGGAAATTGAGCGTCATAAGGGAAAACTCACTGTGAAGGAGGCTCCTAGAGCGGTGAGTTGCTGTGATTTCCCTGACATACTCAATGCTCAATCTAAAGAAAAGAAAAACACTCCTAGTATTGAAATATTGGATTTATTTTTAATTATGGTCTTATTTACTTTTTGCAATGAGGCTAATGTGATCTTTATTTCCATCGCAGGTGAGTGAAAGGGAGGATAAACTCCTTGCTGAACAGATGGCTAAGCTAACCCGTGAGAATGAGGAGGTCAGCGGTGATGAAGATAGTGAGGAGGAAGAAGATACGGGGATGGGAGAAATTGATGTGGAGAACTCAGGACATGGCATAACAGAATGAATACTCCGTTTAATCCCCAACTCAGAAGATACACTTCCAATATTGATGCAGCACTCTCCATACTACTGGGTGGATGTATACAATTTTGAATTTTGTCAAGCATTTTTTTTCTTTTTATAATTACCTGTTTCATGTATTCATTTAGCAGTTTTACAATGTCTTGCTGACAAGTAGCACATTCTGGAGCTGTTTATCTGCACATATGTTGTGCATTTCTGCATTCTATTGTGTCCAGATGCCGCAGCTTTGCATCATCATTGATCTATTGGTAATTATTTCCCAACATTTTATTCTGTGTAGTTTCCTTTTCTTGTCCTGTTGTTACAGTAGAAATTGAATTAGAATTTAGAAATGAATCAAAACCCAGAGGTGGCTATTTCATACCCAAAAACGTTATACTCCTCCGTACAAAGCATCAGAAGTACACTAAACATTGTGACCAAATACCAAAACATATGACACTCAACCAAAAACACTCCTTAGCAGGCTGCATTGTTATTATAAAAAATTTACAGCAGCACAGGAAAACCATTTTCACAAGTCAAGTACTTCTGTACTTGACATACCAAAAGCTAAGCTAGTAGGATACAGGGAATGCATAGAAACTGCGCAACGATGAAAGGCGAAGCATTAGAGCTTAGAAGAGTCTTCATCGCAGCTGGTAAGATGTGCAAAGAAGGTTGGCTTGGTCTTCAACAAGGTTCATATCCGCAACTGAAACCTTCCGGCTATAGCACTTATCGTCATCTTTGTAGGTGTACGTTTGCTGCATCGTGGCTGTACCGGAGAGAACAAAGTTGCCCTCAACATCCAACATTCCACTGCATACCTGGCTGTTTGACACTTTACTGCTGCTGGAATCTCCGCTCACCTTAACGCTCCATTCGTTCTCTAACTCAGTTCTTAGCGAGCTGGAATTCGCCTGGTTCCCGGACTCCGTTTTGGTGATGAGTTTTAATGGGAATTTCCTCTTGATTTTTATCTGGGAGATCTGTGTGCCTATTTCCCCTGTAACTCTGGTTTCAACTTCGTCCTTGATTTTCTGCTCCACCTTCTTGTGTGTAGCGTCGTTTTCGTACTTGATCTCGTTCTCCAACTTCAGTTCTTGCTTAATGGAATACGTGAGGTTTCCCTTTTTGGATTTCACCCACCCCGCGTACTTGCTCGTCCTTTCCATTTCAACCTTGAAGGAGCCATCCAGTCCTTTGAACTCAGTTTGAAGCTCCAGCTCGAACTTTGGGGCTTCCGTGTCGATAACTCCCGCCTGGATTTTCTCCGTGCCGTGTTCTAACCACAGGTGCAGATTCCCGCCCACAAGCCAGTACGGGATGGAATTCGCTACGCTGAACCCTATTTTGTGCGGCTTTCCGTCGAGCAGTAGGGCGAGGAATGGCGTCAAATCGATTTCGTAAGATGGAACGTTGAAAGCCCCAATTGAGACCACCGGATCCCAGAACAGGGGATTCACTCCGCCGGCGTATATCACCGGGAATGGAACCAGTGCGCCCACCAAGCTCCTGTCGATCGTCACCAGGACTTCCCGGTAAGCTCCGTTCCCGTTCACTGCATCAAAATTGTTAGTTTTTGAGTATGAATCTGGAGGGTGCGAGTACCAAAACTCATCGTTTCCGTGTGAAGTTGCGTATATTTCCACTGTAGCTTTGTATGCGTTCTGAGGAATCGTAACTTCTTTTGAAACCACTTGCGCATCGGTATGAATCGAGAACCAAAATCCGTGTTCTCCTTTCGCCGAGATCGGAATGATCGAATCCGCCGGTCCGTCATCTGGAACCGGCGGATTCATCGGTTTGTCCACCGTCATAGCGATCGGATTTTCCTCAACCGTCTCGGAACTGCGAACGCAGTTTCCGATCGCCGTCGCGCCTCTAGTATCGTAATAGACGAAAGTAACGTTGACGTCAAACACTCCGGTGAAAACGTCGTTGACCGAATTCTCCAGCATGACCGCGAGAGAGAGCTCCTTGCTGTTCAGCAAAGAGGAGTATTTGGTGACGTCCTTACTGACCTTCCAGTAGACGCCGTTAGACCCCGGCTGGGGGGTGGTGGTGCGGAGCAGCTCCACCCCGTCAAGCCACACGGCGGCGATGCGATCTTCCTGATCGCTCCGGCAGGCGGCTTGGAACTCCAGGACGACATCCGTCCAGCAGCACTCCGCCGGCGGGGAGTACTCCGCCGTCACAGGCGGTTGACCTTTCGTGTCGCCGAAGCTGTGAGTGAGAAGCGGTAGGGCGCATGATGGGAGCTGGCTAGTGACGGCCAAGGGGCGAGTGACTTCGAAGTACTGCTTCGGAGCTTCGCCAGGCGGGACTGGAAGCTGTTTGATGAAATGCTTCTCGTGCGCCGAAGTGAGCGTAGTGATTAAGCCGGCGATGAAGAAGAACAGAGCGAGTAGTGCGAAAAGCTTCATTTTTTCGTGCACTCAGATTTGACTTTCAATTCGTTATAGTAAAGTGCGAGATCCAACGTTTGATCTCAAATTAATAGGGGATACATAACTGGGGAAAATAGCATTTTTTCCCCCTAAGTTATATATTTATAGCATTTTTTTCCTATCATTTATTTATGTAAGCACATTAGTCCCCTCAATTATTTTAAAAGTGGTGGTTTTTCCTCTTAATATATTAAATTGATATTTTTACCCTTAAAGTAAATATTTTATTTATTTTACTTCTCCAACAAATTATTATGTATATGTAGCGATTACCACGGTTCAGTTCGAACTGAACCAGACACTATACCAATCGAATTAAAAGTTTTCGGTTGTAATTCAGATCTAGAACCCAATATTTTGATTTCAATTTATTAAATTTAAGAATAAAAAAACTGGATCATGAACCGTGAACCGGCGGTTCCGGATCCGGTTCGCGATTTTGAACCGTCTTTATTTTAAAATAATCTAAATTCAACAATAAATGTATTTTATTTTTTTCAATTCGAAACATGAACCGACCATTCCAGTTCGAGATTTTAATAAACTCTAAATATCGCATTTTGATTATAAATTGTAATTGGAATATTTTGGTTTGGTGCTATAGTATCTGTTTGATTTGAACCAAATTATAGTAATAATTTGTTGGAGAAGAAAAATAAATGAAATATTTATTTTAAATATTTATTTTAGGGATAAATATGTCCATTTAACGTTTCAGGGGTAAAAAAGAACCACTTAAATAATTTAGGGGAAAAAAGTACTATAATAATTTAGGGGAAAAAAAGTACTATAAGTATATAACTCAGGGAGAAAAGTGTCATTTTCTCTAACTGCGATTTTTGGGAAAAAGTGCCATTTTCCCTAACTGCGATTTTTATTTTTATTTTCCTCTTTTATGAATGAAAATATTAAGGGTAAATATATAATCTAATCTAAAATCTATCTTTTTTAAAAAATATTTATTTATTTAGTATTATTGACTCAACACCATCAATATTCAATAATGTTACATTCTTTCAAGGAAAGCAGCAGATGTGCTATTTGATTTGTTTGACATTTAAAATCTATCTAATAAAATAAAAATAAAAATAAATATAAAAAACTTATAAATATGAATTGAGGTTAATAACCCTGAGTTATGTCTCTATTCCTATGCTTATTAAGTTAATATACATCGCATAAATTTTTCTTATATCTTTACATTTCTATTAGTATATATATTATATTAAATTTATTTAATCATTTAGAATACCTAAACTTTTTACTTTTAACAATTAATAATAATTTCATAATTATTACTCAAATTATTAACAATGCTTTTAAATATAATATGAATTTTATAATTATGAATTTTATGACTTTTAAATAACTTTGTAGGTTTGAGAGTAATTCTAAAATTAATTTGTAAAAGAAAAATGAATCTAGTAGTAATTCGTAAAATAAAAATGAATTTTGCACTTCGCAAATTGAGAATAAGGGTTTGTTTGGAAACCCAAAAAATGATTTTCGGAAATTATTTTTCGGGTTTCTGGTGTTTAGCTAGGCTAAAAAATGAAAGGTCAATGAAAAATGAGTCAATTTTTCCGGAAAATGACTTCCCTTTTTTTTTAGGGGAAGTCATTTTCCATTGTTTACTTCCCACGCTGAAAATCTGGCGCCTCCAACATTCATCAACAAGTCCTCCTTCAACAAACCCACAAGCACACAAGCTTCAACCTAGTGTTGTCGTTCGTCTTTGCCGTTCACCATTGTCGCCGTTCGTCATCTCCGTTCACCGGCCTCCAAAGTCGCCGCCGTTGCCAAGCCCAGCGCCACCACCTTACTTCCAACCACCGTCTCACCCCAGTGAGACCATTGCTGGCCTCTAAAGTCGCAGTCGCACCACAACACGACGCAGATCTCGATGAATCGTTTCAGCCGTTCAGTAAGCTCTGGTGGAGGATCGCCCACCTCCATGGACGTCTCAACTAGGTGGAGACTCCCACCTATTCAGAACGCCGGCGATCTGGCTGTCGGTGCCGGAAAATGAGCGAAAGCAGTTGATGAAGAAATCTGTTTCTTTTCACCGGAGAGGAATGGTGTGGATCTGTGGGTCTAAAAATTTTATAATAATAATAATAATAATAATAATTGTGGGTCTAAAAATTTTATAATAATAATAATAATAATTCTTGTGGGTCTAAAATTTTTATAATAATAATAATAATTCTACTCATTTTCCGGAAAATTAACCAAACACACTAAGACAGTTTTCAAGAATGCAACCAAACACTGGAAAATGACATGTTTTCTGAAAAATGACTCATTTTCCAGAAGTCACTTTCCTGCTTTCCAAACGGACCCTAAAGAGAGATCAATATTGAGATTATTGAATTATTCCTTTATTTAAGGGACAATTTGACATAATAATGAATTGTCCATTTATTTAACACCAATTTGACGGAATAACAAACAAAGTATGAGCAAAAACACAAAAGTCTAGGTAACCAAAATCGTTTAAGATAAAATTAAAAAAAATCACTATAGTTAATAATCATTTTGGGTAATTACTCGTCTCTTATATGAGAAATCGATGAAATCTGAAATCACGATTTCTTCGAACGACTGGCAGTGCGTGAGAATTTCATGGACGACAATTGTTCGTATGTAGGAGTAATATTTTGTGTAGTACCTTCCATGTATTTATCTTGACTGGGTTATGTTAGTTCCAAATTAAACCTGCGATTCCTGTTGATAAGGATAGCGACATTTGCGTCGTACCAGTTTCTGCTAATCGCCACATAGATAGATAAGATAACACAAACAAAATACCTACTGTCCGACACCGACAGCAACAGAATTTATACACGGAATGTGATGCTAAATTTTAATTTTGTGATTTTTTTTTTCTAGAGTTATTATAAGTTTTGGTCCATAATTATTCTTTTATTAAGATAATAATAATCAAATATATCACTGAATTTTGTCAAAACATAGAATTAAGTTTTTGAATAAAAAAAATAATTTCAAATAGACTCTCGAACTTGATAGAAAAAAAAAGTATAATTCAATCAATTTTAATTTTTATTACATGTAATCACCAGGTAATTAATTGCTAAGTTGAATGTCACTCCATGTTTTTCTAAGTAATTTGGATGCCAAGTTGTAATAATAATTATTAACCTTTATTATTGTTGTTGTTGTTATTATTACATTTGTCATTATATTTTGGAAAAAAGGTCAAATAGGCCCTCGAACTTTAGCTTAAAAGTCAATTAAGTTCCTAAACTTTTTAAAGGTTCAATTACACCCATCAACAATTCACAATTCATTTAGGTGCAATGAAGCCCAAAAACAAATTAATGACCTGCTATCACAAGTCATTAGGGTTCAGGCCACCTTCCAGCGAATTTTCTGACAAAAAAAAAAAAAAGTGCCAGCAACTGACCCAGATTTGCCAAAAATTTTGCCGGTCACTTCTTTTGTTGAAAATTTCGTCGGTCACTTTTTTTTTTTTTTTTTGCCAAAAAATTCGCCGCAAGGTGGCCTGAACCCTAATGACCTGTGATAGTAGGCCATTAATTTGTTTTTGGGCTTCATTGCACTTAAATGAATTGTTGATGGGTGTAATTGCACCATTAAAAAGTTTAGGGACCTAATTGACTTTTAAGCTAAAGTTCAAGGGTCTATTTAACCATTTTTCCTTATATTTTTATTAAATATTATTTTATACAATTTTAATATTTCAACATTAAGAGTGTGTCTGGTAGTAATGTGGAATTTGAATAATTACGAATATTAATTTTTAATTCTGTATAACCCTATAATGAAATAAATATTTTAAAAATATAAAAACAAAAAATCAAAAAAATAGATCCTAATATAATGACATCCAAAGCATTAATATGAACCAAAAAAATCAAAACAAAAATCTAAAAGTACTAATCCAAATTTAAAAATTACATTACTAGCAGATAAAACAGAATGATACCCATTTTTAAACAAAAATCTAAAATGACCGAAGCGTAATGAATTGGAGCGATTTTTGCAACCACACGCCCACAGTAGACATATCGAACAACAACAACCGTTGTACATTGAAATCGTACGCCTGCGTTTGTACTATGTTGAAGGCTTGAAGCCGATACCTGAGCCAGCAATCATCGACGACATTAGGCCAAAATTCAAAAAAGACAGATATCTTCGTTCGTAGGCCCATAATCACCAATTTGTCACAACTTTAATTACTAATCTCTGCACCACATTTTTTTTTTTTTTAAACCGCACCACATATTTCTTGTTGCCCACATAGTTTCACTCCGCCTTTTCCCCATTCCTAGGGGGTGTTATTATGAGTAATACTGTACCAATACTCGCCGAAAAAAATTCACTCTCGCTGAGGAGGATATACATTGAATAAGGACCACAAGTATGTACTTATGTAAATCAGTCTAGCTCAAACTAAAAAAGTTAATAGACTAGAGGATATGCACTAGATAAGGAACACAAGCATGTAAATCATCCTAACCTTTTCAAATGCTGATAGGCCGCTGCCATTAGGAGTTGAATTTAGAACCTTGTGATTATTAACCAAATAGTTTGACTAACTTAGTTGAGGTTGTCCTTAGGGGACATTTGGTTACGATAATCTGAGTATCTTGTTTGGTTCAAGTTATGATATTACCTGGTAATGTTATATTACGTTAAAGCTGAATATAAGATTTTAAGTTTAACTACAGATTGAAGCTACCTATTGATTTTCATGGTTTGATATGTTCAGTTGCGGGCAACTTAGACTAGTCTACCTGTGGTTACGTTCTTTGATAGCTATGATCACAATGTGCAGAGTTTTTGTTTGAATTTAAAAGCCTCTTACCGCTCCTACCATGAACATTGGTGGAGGAGGCAAATCGCATTATGTGTCTCCACTGGCCTATGTTAGACTCCAAATGCTTGTACATTAGTGTTTACAACCGGATCGAATTCATACTTTCACAAAACCCTACAATCATTGACAAATCAAAACTTTATAAATTTTACACTTTCATTTTTCTTTTGATTGGGAAGAAAACATCATAATGATGAAATGAATAGATGCTCTTTTACTCTTAGCTTTTTGAAAAGTAGTTATACAAAAGAAAAATCTCATCCTAATAGTGCCCTATGAATGAAATTAGACAAATGAGGCTCTCCCAACCCTGCAAATATCACATTTACTAAATGACATGAATGATGACATGGAATAAATAAAATTGTTTTTTTTTTTTATTTATCGCCATCCGTATTGCAAACTTGCATTTCTAGCAAGTTTGCAAAGGACAACAATGTCAGTCTTTGTTGTACTTTGGTATTGCAAGGCTATCATTGCATTTGTCATTTTCTTTACTTTTTTATTATTTTATTATTATATATATAATATAAAATGAAAGTGGGACCTATTTTTGGAAGTGAGAGAGATTTGCGAGTATGAATAGTAGATTGATTTGTAAATAGGATGATGTAGGAGTGTGACCCATTTTTAAGAGTGGGAGATATTTGCAGGGATGAAATTAGCCTAAAACATTGATTGCTACAGAACACATTAGTCTTCTGTCTACCCACTTTTTCTCACTTCTAATTCCTTATTCATATTTACCTTCCCCTATTCTCTTTCTCCAAAATTCTCACTTTCCGTCAGTTCGACATGATAGTAGAGAGATAAGATATGGTGATTTACCAGTTCATTAAGTAAGAAAATTAGTGCTTAATGCGTACAAGAAAAGAGAGATAACATATGGTGATTTAACAGTCTATTAAGTAAGAAAATTAGTGTTTAATGCGTACAAGAAAATCATCATTTGGTATACTCTAACACTACGATTGTCAAATTTCGATCATGTGTCCGTACCGACAATTCACCTTCCCCTATTCTCTGCTTGTATTGTTTGGAGGTTTTTACAAGTAATTTGCTTCATCAAGACTAGTATTATTTAATTTGACATATCTACTGAAAATTAGTTATTAGTTGAAAATGCTTAAATGCATTATGATTAAAGTCAAAGATATAAGATTAGATTTCCGGTATAATTAAACCAGAGAATTGAATTACGCTTGCTTAAGCAGCATTATTGCATTGATTTAAAAGCTGTGAAATATCCTCATAGTTGAACAACCTCGCTATGGAAAGGGGAGTTAAGCCTTTGATGTTTGTAGCGTTGACGTCGGCGCCTCTGTTGATCAACACCTCAACCGTCTGAGCGCAGCCGCCTTCCACGGCCAGGTGCAGCGGAGTGTGGCCGCCGGCGTCATGGCACTCTATGTCCGCCCCGAAATCAACCAGAATCATCACCGCATCTTTCATTCCTTTTATGGCCGCCACGTGGAGGGCCGTCAGTCCGTATTGATCGCAGAAAGTAGTGATTGCCCCCTTTTCCAGTAGCGACTCCAGAAGCCGTAGCTCTCCTCGCCTCGCCGCTTGCACCACTTGCTCTCCTCTTTCAACAATCTTCACAATCCCCTCCTGCCGCCCATTACAAAAATTATTGGACCGTTTTCATTACAAATAGAATTTAAAATCTTTTAATTGAATTACTATTTAAAGGCTGTTGCAAAAATCCCGTCTATAGGAGCTAGATACTGGCCGACCACCTAACCTATTATCATAATCGCTCACCTAGGCGGTTGGCCGACTAAGCGGCCGATTAGGGGCTGATCCATTAGGCCTCTTAGGTACCGCCTAGTCCGTTGACATTGTTTTGAGTGGAGTAACTTTAAATTATTCAAATCTAATATTTTTTAGGTGAATATTTAATATTCTTGTACTAACTATTAAGGTATTAAATAAATATTTTATAATTATCAAGTTTTAAAAAATTAAATAAATTTTAAAAAAATAAAAAATACACAAACGTCTAGACATGATAGCGCTAGTTATTTTCTCAACCATGTTTAAAGATATGCATGGAATAATTTTCATCTTATGACTCCGAGCAACAAAAACTTACAAAAAGATGAATTAGTATATGTTATCATAACTAATCGATTAAATTGTTTTGTTAAAACTCAAACTTATAACATTGCGATTACCAAAATTATCTTGACTAACATTGTTTTGAAATTTAAAATTGTATGATTTTTAAGATAATAATTTGATCAACTTATTAGGTCTTTTTACAATTATTATTATTAAAATTTTATTATATATACTCTTTATTTTTAATTTTTCACTTTTACTTTCTAATATGACAATTGCTAATTAGTTATTTTCAGTAGGTTGGTTTCAATAAAAATATAAACATTAAAATTTTGTGAAAAAATTAAAATTGAGGGTAAGTATATGTGTCAGAGTTGTATATGTGTTATTGACACGTGTAATTCGGGTATACAACTTACGTGTCCCTTATCTCTTGCGACGTCAATAGGCGAGTGTCCTAGATTGTCGGTCACGGTGGGGTCCGCACCCATCTCAATAAGCATCTGTACCATCTGATAATCTCCGTTAACTACAGCTCTGTACAAAGCGGTTCTCCCGTCGATGCTACGCGTGTCCACCTGCGCTCCTGCACTCGCCAGCACCTTAGCAGGACCCAAGTGACCTTTACTCGCCGCTAAGAATAACGGCGTCTTTCCCTCCTTGTCTCTACAATCCAACGACCCAGAAGCGTTGCCTCTCACCAGCTTCTCAATCTCGTCCGTCCGATTGTGCGCCGCGGCAATGTGTAACGCCGTCCATCCCTTCGCCGTGAACCGGACGTTATTGAGGCCGGCGCCGCCTTTCAGCCCCGCCTCAAGCAGCAAATCCACCATCTCGTCCGAGTTATCCAGCTGAGTCGCGACTCGGACGAGTGACTCAGCTTCCCCAGTCGGCAACGCGGAGAGAACGGAGCGCTGTTTCCTCACAATGCCTCTGACGGCTTCACAGTCTCCGACCATAACCGCATGTTGAAGAAGAAACGGGCCGACGAAAGCGACCTTGAGCTTGACGTCGTGGATGGAGGCGTGGGGGGTTTTGTTGAACCAGGAGTGTATGAACTCGGAATGAGTCGACTCGGGGGAGACAGAGTTAAGGTCAGAAGCCAACGCGGTTCTGATGAGGAAACGATCGGAAGGGGAGCGTGGGAATGTTGCGGGAAGCTCATACTGGGGCTTGAGGATGACCTGGAAGGTGGCAGAGCGAAACGGCGGGACGAGTCCACTCGGTGGGTTGACCAGGAATTTGTGAGGAGAGGATGTTTGGACCTTGAAGGCTACGGGGGCCGCCGCCGTGAGTGAGCGGAGGGTCACGGTGGCTCGGCATTTGGAACCCAACGCAAAATCTATGCGTATTTCTTGGTCCACAACTTCCACCAATTTCACCATTGCTCCTAACTATGAAGAGAGCCTCCAAATCGAAGATGAATTACATGACGAGGATGAAAATAGGAGTTGGATTTGCCAGTATCGTCGCACGTGATAAGAATATACGGAATATTGGTGATGTTTTTTTTTTTTTGAGCAAAAATTTTAAGTTGAGTATAGGCTATTTAGACTTGTTTACTTTTTGTAACTCCTTGTTGAGTTGTTGGAGTTACAAAAACCAACGGTTGTGCTTGTTTTAATAAAGTCACAATGTTAACTTAGGTGAACCAAGCTACGGCAAATTATCTGTGAAATCGTGTCCACCTTTTAAAATTGTCATAATTGTGAATATATAGTTTAAAAATTATGAACATAAAATTTTATACTTATAAACATAGAGTTCTATACTTATGAATATAAAATTTTGTAATAGTAAATATAAAATTCAATAATTATGAATATAAAGTTCAAAAATTATGAACATAAAGTTTTATAATTATAAACATATAGTTTTATAATGGGAAAATGACACTTTTTATCCCTGAGTAATATACTTATAGCACTTTTTCCCTCTCAATTATTTAGGTAAGCACATTAGTCCCCCTTTTCCCCCCTGATATATTAAATTGACATTTATACCCTTAAAGTAAACATTTTATTTATTTTACTACTCCAACAAATTATTGCGTATACGTAGGGATGACCACGGTTCGATTTGAATTGAATTGGATACTAAAGCAATCGAATTAATAGTTTACGGTTATAATTCAGATTTAGAACCCAATATTTAAATGTCAATTTATTAAAATTATCTATCAAAAAAATTGAATCTTGAACCGTGAACCGGCGGTTCCGGATCTGATTCGCGATTTTGAACCGTCTTTATTTTAAAATTTTATTTTTTATTTTAAAATAGTCTAAATTCAACAATAAATGTATTTTATTTTTTCAGTTCGGAACATTAACCGTCCGTTCTGGTTCACGGTTTTAATAAACTCTAAATATCGAATTTCGATTCTAAATTGTAATTGAAATATTTCTGTTTGGTTGCTATAGTGTTTGTTTAGTTTGAACCAAATTATGGTCATAATTTGTTGGAGAAAAAAAAATTAAATATTTAGTTTAAGGGTAAATATGTCCATTTAACATTTTAGGGGGAAAAACAGCCACTTCAATAATTTAGGGGGAAAAAATGCTATAAGTATATAACTCAGGGGGAAAAAATGTCATTTTCCCTTTTATAATTATGAACATAAAACTTTGTAATTGTTAATTAGAGTTTGATAATTGTGAATATGGAGTTCAAAAATTATAAACATATAAATTTTATGATTATGAACATAATATTCAATAATTATGAATATAGAACCTTATCCATCTTACATTGTGGACATACTCCCACAGCATAACCATTGCCAAGCTATTAGGTGGGTTGGTTTAAAAAAAAAAAAAAAAAAAAGCTATTAAGTGGGTTAGAAACTTAGAATAGTAGTTCAGGCCCAAAACTATGACTATCTACTAGGGCCATAGGAGTGGATTGCACTATGAATTCTAGTTTATGGGTTTATGTTTTGTGTGTTTTGAGTTCTAAATTTTGTATTAGAAATAAATTAATAATTGTGTTTTGTATTATGAATTTATGTGTTATGTTGTAAAAAATTGTGTTTATAAAAACAAATTATGTACTCTTTATATTGTGATTTTTTGTATTTTGTGTTATAATATTCTGTACCTTACATGTATATATTATTTACCTTGTTGTTTTAATTCATTGTCCATGATGTAAATTGCCATAGGAAATGAATTTCAATTGCTAAAGTTTCATGCAATCCTTATACTTGAGGATCATTGTCTATTTTACAAGATGATATTAACAATTCAGTAATAATTTGATATACATATTCATTTTTAGTGTACTACATATTTATTTTTTAAATATTAAAAAATAAATCTTTAATACATTAAAAATAAACTTTTTATATATTAAAAGTAACATTTATTAGTCATTTAACATAAAACTTGAAGGCATTTTTTTTAATTTTTTCCTCTCTCCTTGTGAGTGCTTTCCTCTCTCCTTGTGAGTGCCTTCTCGTCTAGGTTTTCTGAGCTTTGTGCCGTGCGTTTTTCCATGGAGAAAGGTGGTACTAGTGGCTTGGCGGAAGCGTATGAAGCTTTGGCCATTGATGATGATGAGGACGGCGTGATTGTTGAAATTGACGAGATCCCGAAGCCTAGCTACGATCTCCGATTTGCGGCGGTGGGTCGTGTTGTCACTGAAAGACCGGTGAAACTTGTAGTTTTCCGGGATGTCATGGCTACGGCATGGCGGCCAATGAAAGGGGTTTTGGTTCGTGAACTGGGGCAGAAACGCTTCCTGATTGTTTTCTATTGTGAAAGGGACATTTCCAGAGTTATGAATGATGGGCCATGGACGTTCGACCAGAATTTGGTCTTGCTCCGCCGGGTGGTAAATGGTGAGGATCCTATGGAAGTTCCTCTGGATATGGTCTCCTTCTGGGTCCAACTTCATAAACTACCTACGGGGTTCATGTCTGAGAGGGTGGCGAAAGTCGTGGGCAACTATGTGGGGGAGTTTGAGCAGTCGGACAAACGGAATTTTGATGGAAGTGAACGTCAATTCATGCGCGTTCGGACGAAGGTGGATATTAAGCATCCTCTGAAAGCAAGAATGAAAATGAAGAAACCGGGGGGGGGGGGGGGGAGTGGTTCTGGGTTGATCTCCGCTATGAACGACTACCGTCATTTTGTTTCGAGTGTGGGATTATCGGGCATGCAGATAAATTCTGCCCGGAGGCGGCGGATAATCCTATGGATGGCGGAAGTAAGCTGTATGGTGTGTGGTTGAGGGCGGGTGGCCGGAGAACGGGGGTGGCGCCGGAGAATAGGTGGCTTGTACTGGAGGAGCCGGAGGTGGCGGGAAAGGCGGTTGCAAGCGTAACAGATGGTGTGTTTAATGAGATTTATGAGGGGGCTGTGATGGAGCGCCGTTTTTCCGAAAAGAAAGGAGAGGTGGGGAGTAGTGAAACTGTGAGAGAGGGAGTAACGGTTGGGGCAATGAGTGTGGGTTTGAATAGGGAGGGGGTCATAAATGAGGGATTAAATGGTGAGGGAGAAAGTGAGGGGGTGGTCATTATTGAGGCTAAAAGAAGGCGTACGGATGGTGAGGGGAGGGTTTTAAATGATGTTAGTCCTATGACTATTGAGCAGCAAGACTCTTTTTCTTGTGAGGTGGGCCCTGGGATCCAGGCCCACCCGACCCAATGAATATTTTAAGTTGGAACTGCCGTGGGCTGGGAAACCCATTGGTAGTTCAGTTCTTGGTGGGCTTAGTTTATCATAAGAAGCCCCAAGTTATTTTTTTATGTGAAACGAAGATGGATGCCCGACGTCTTGAACGGGTGCGAGTAAAACTTAAGTACGATAGTTGCTTTATTGTGGATGCTACGGGAAGAGGGGGGGGGGGGGGGGCTCGCGCTCCTCTGGAATGCAGGGGTAGATATTGAAGTAAGGGGGTATTCAAACCACTACATTGATACAGTGGTCAAGAGTGATTGGGGGGGGGGGGGGTCACGTTGGAGACTCACGGGTTGCTACGGGGAACCTGATCAAAGCCAGAGGCGTGAGACTTGGGATCTCTTGAGGTACTTATCCACTCTAAATAATTTGCCTTGTGTTTTGCTGGGTGATCTAAACAATTTACAGTGGGATTGGGAGAAAGAGGGGAGATTTCCGTACCCTAGGTGGTTGCTTAGGGGGTTTGGGGATGCTGTTAGGGAGAGTGGATTATCCAATTTTGGGTTTGATGGGTGCCAATATACTTGGGAGAAGGGGTACATGCAATTGGGTGAGGGAAAAGCTCGATCGAATATTGGTTTCGGGTGAATGGAGAGATTTATGGCCACACGCTAGAGCAAAGTCGGTGGAGGGCAGCACGAGTGACCATATGCCGTTACTTTTGACAGTGGAGGGGGGTGGACCGGTGAGAGTGGTGCGGAGGCCTAGATTCGAGAATAGTTGGGGACATATTCCGGAGTGCAGGCAGGTTGTGGAACGGGAATGGGATAGATTGGAGGGATGTACGATCGGGGAGAGGTTGAGCGAGTGTGGTCGGGGAGTGTGGAATTGGGGTAAGGGCCAGAACAAGGGTGAGGTTGAGGTTATTCGGCGGTGTAAAAAATGAGATGGGAAGGCTGCGGGGCTTGCGGGATGGGGAGAGTGTACGACAGTTTGGGGTTGTCCAACGTCAATATTTGGGCTGTTTACGAAATCAGAGTGATAAGTTCAGGCAAAGGGCGAAAGAGTTGTGGTATAGGGAGGGGGATAGTAACTCTAGATTCTTTCATAACTCGGTGAATACAAGACGTAGGAGGAATCGAATTGCGGCCCTAAGGGATGAGAGGGGTGTGCTGATTCGGGATGAACGGGAGATGGGAGGGATTATGGTGAGGTATTTTTCTGCCCTGTTCACGGCTGGTGGAGGAGATGTGGGTCAGGTTGTTAACTATTTGGAGAATCGGGTTGATGAAGGTCAGAATGCGGCTTTGGTGAGAGAGGTCACGGAGGAGGAAGTGAAGGCTGCCTTGTTCGCGATGCATCCGGATAAATCTCCAGGACCGGATGGCTTATCTCCGGGATTCTTCTAGAACTATTGGTCTATTTTAGGCCCCGAGGTAGTTTCCTTTTGTTGTCTGTTTATGAATACTGGAAAGATGCCGGAGCAGGTGAATGATACACATATTGTGTTAATTCCAAAATGTAAAACCCCAGAGAATATGTCTGAGTTTCGCCCTATCTCTTTATGTAATGTAATTTATCGCATTATTGCTAAGGTTCTGGCCACTCGCCTGCGTGTGTTGCTGGACTCTATTATTGACCCTGCCCAGAGTGCTTTTATCCCGGGGAGGTCGATTGTAGATAATGTGCTTATTGCGTTTGAGTCAGCTCACTGTTTGAAACGTCAACCTGGGGATAGGGGTGGTTTTGGGGCCCTAAAAATTGACATGAGTAAGGCTTATGATCGGGTTGAATGGGTTTTTTGTGTCAAGTGCTTACGAAGATGGGGTTTAGTGACAAATGGGTGGGGATTATGAGGGAGTGTGTGTCCAGTGTGCGCTATACGGTGTTGGTGGAGGGGAAAGAGTGGGGGCCAGTGGTACCGGAGAGGGGGCTAAGACAGGGGGACCCGTTATCACCTTATTTATTTATCTTGGTAGCGGAGTGCTTAAGTGTTATGTTGAGAGTTCGGGAGGAGGAGGGGATGTTGCACGAGTTAAGGGTAGCGAGAGGGGCTTCGGCAATATCCCATCTTTTCTTTGCAGATGACTGCCTGTTGCTCTTTCGGGCAAACAATTTTGAAGCCGAGATTCTAAGGGATGTTTTGAGAGATTACGGGATGGCGAGTGGGCAGGAGGTAAATTTTGATAAATCATCTATAGTGTTTGGACGGAATGTGCATAGGGAGGATAAGGAGGCTGTTTGCGGGAGTTTAGGGATTGGCGAACAGCAGGGACATGGAAAATACTTGGGTCTACCTGGATATGTGGGGAGGAAAAAAAAGGAAATTTTGGGGTTTGTTCGGGACCGGGTTAGGGCTCGGGTTATGAATTGGGGGAACCGTTTCTTGTCTAGAGGGGGTAGGGAGGTGCTTCTAAAGACTGTTTTGCAAAGTATACCAAATTATGCGATGAATGTGTTTCCTCTCCCGGTGGGTTTAAGTGATGATCTAGAACGGATCATGAATTCTTTTTGGTGGGGGTGTGAAAGAAGGGAAAGAGGGGGAATAAGGTGGAGTAGGTGGAGTGATTTGTGTGTGCCGAAGAAGTATGGGGGTATGGGTTTTAGGAGAGTGCGGGAGATGAACCTTGCGATGTTAGGAAAACAGGGGTGGAATTTTCTTACTAAACCAAATGCTCTAGTTACAAGGGTCTTTAAGGCGAGATATTTCCCAAAATCCACTTTTTTTGCAGGCAAAAAGAGGTTCAAATCCGTCATATGTGTGGTCTAGTATTTGGGGAACACAAGAGTTGGTGAGGAAGGGGGTTAGATGGAGGATTGGAAATGGTGAGGGGACTAAAGTTTGGGGCGAATACTTGGGGGACATCCTTATGTTACTACACCGAGTCAGGAATACTTGGGGGATCCGTGGGTGAGTTCTTTGATGCGTATTGATGAGAATGAGTGGGATCATGGGGTGGTAAGAGATATTTTGGAGGAGCGGGATGCAAATTTGGTTTTGAGTGTACCTTTGTCGGCTAGGGGGGGCCGTGATTCTCTCTTTTGGAGTCGGGAGCAAAATGGACTGTATTCGGTGTGTAGCGCATATAGGTTGGCCTCGGGGGAGTTTGGACAGGGGGACGGGGTAGCATAGAGGGGTATATGGCGGATGAGAGTGCCACCAAAAGTTAAATGCTTTTTCTGGAATTTATGCACGCTTCGGCTTCCCACCAAAGATGCTTTACTGTTAAAACACGTACCTTGTGATCCTGTTTGTGTGTTGTGTGGAAAAGCAAACGAGAGCACGGTTCATCTTTTTGCTAATTGTGAATTTGCGCATAAGAGTTGGCGTGTGTTAAATGGGGACTGGAATATGGGTTATATTGAGTCTATTCATGGGTGGTTAGATGAATTGTGGTCTGGAAGCTTATCTATTATGATGATTGAGCAGGTGGTGATGGTGGCGTGGGCAATTTGGGAAGCTAGAAACTCTATGGTTTGGCATTAAAAGGACACGGACCCTCAAACTATGGTGTGTTATGCGTTGTCCTATGCTCAGAATTGGCGTGAGATCAGGGGAAGGGATGGTGATGTTTCAAGGGGGGGTTTGCTTAGTGTTCGGGACGGGCAGGTGAGGGTGTATGACCCTGGGTGGATTCGTGTTACGGTGGATGTTGCAATGGATTATAGAAGACAGCGCATGGGGTTTGGATGGAGTGTCTTTAACTGGGATGGCACGGTTAGGGGAGTGGTAATGTTTGCTAAGCATGGGTTGCATACGGTAAAAGAGGCGGAAGCTTTAGGAGCTAGAGAGGCACTAAGTTGGATTAAGAGAAAGGGGTGGGAGCGGGTGGTCCTTGAGACCGATGCTCAACTAGTCACAACGGCGGTGGCGGGGGGACGGAATATATCACCTTTTGGCTTAATTGTGAACGACATTCGGGAGCTTTTAAGTCAAATGCCTATGGTAAATTTTCGCCTTTGTTCACCGGCAACATGTTATGGTGTCTCATTGTTTAGCCAAGAGAGCTCTATATTGTGTAGAGGAGGGTCGTATGGAGTATTTTGACTATATTCCTCGTTTTGTATCCATTCCTCTATGTAACAATACTGGTATCTTTTAATGAAATCTGGTTATGGTTTGTTCAAAAAAAAAACATAAAACTTGATAGTTTCATCATTCATGAGTGCTTATGCTTATTTTGTAGATTTTTTGTTCTAAAAAAATAATATTCTTGAGAATAAGTTATTCATATTTTATAAAATTCAGCTTTTATGAATTTGATCTTTTTTCCGTACATTTCATTGGATGGGAAAATGGATCAAATTATAAAATCAAACCTAAGGGCCACACTAGTGTATTATAATGATTTGAGTGCTATTGTAAAAAAAAAGAAAAATTGTAAGCAATGTTTATTAAAATCTTGTATTTGTATTATAATATTAATTAATAATTACAATATTGAATTGATTTTTTTTGGGTGTATATAATTAATATAATATCAATTTGAGCAAGAGAAGAGTGATTAAGAGATTCTTAAGTTCCATTTTGCACTGCTAAGCAGGCACACAGAAGACACGTGGAGTGCAGAGAGAGCTATGGCACAGAAATTGTATGCCTTTCCAAGTGACTTTAGCAATTAGAACACAATTCTCTGCATTCCCCTATGCTCTCTACCTGCTAGCGTATCTCGTTCTGTTATGGCGGGTATATGCACTTAAACGCGCCCGGACTCACACATCACACATACTCTCTCTCTCTCTCTCTCTATACGTACACATATAAGCATCAACCGCCAGTAACTCCATTTCTCTGCAAGTTCTTCGGTGTTCAAAACTCTGCACTTCTGCAGCTGAAAACGACGATCAGATGTTCTATTCGCGTTTGCTTCTCGCTCGCAAAGCTCCTCTCGGTCAAATATGGTGAAGTTTTATCTTATCTTATGCTTTTCCGCATAATGCTAGTCAGTTTTCGTTTCTCTTGTATTGCCGCCATTGATTTTTGAGCTCAAATCTGTACTCCGTTGTTTCTCTGTGTGCTTATGAAGGATGGCGGCGACTATGCAAGCAAAATTGAACAGGAAGAAGCTAAACAAACTGAACATTATTAAGATATGGTAATGAGCTTTTTTCTTCGATTCATTTTTTTACTCTCGAATTCGTTTCTAGTGCATTTTGGTTCACTGATTTCGGAAATTAAATTATGCAGCGAAGAGATTTTGAATCCGTCGGTTCCGATGGCACTGAGACTTTCCGGAATACTCATGGGTAAAGTTTCATAAAATAGAAGACGGTTTTTACTTTTTAGCTCTGCAATGCCGCTTTCATTATTGTTGTTTTCAGGTGGAGTTGTGATTGTCTATCAGCGAAAAGTGAAACTTCTTTATGGTGAACATTTGCCGAGCTTTTCCGCTTATTAATTTTTCGGTTTAAGTTTTCTATGGGAAATAATTCCTACTTACGATTTTGCTTTTGTTGCTGGAATTTTTGTTGTTTCTGCAGATGACGTGAACCGCCTTCTGGTAAGCGTCGATTCTTCACAAGCGCTGTATCCTCCTCTATTTTTCACCTTTGGATTTTTTTCAACAAATTTAATGAATATTTCGAAATTTTTAGGTGGAACTGAATGAAGCTTGGAAGGTCAAAGCTGTTACACTCGATCCTACCCTGCATCCCAAAAATAAAGCACAAGCCAAGTGAGTGCCATTATCTCCGGCATAGTTTCGGCGTACTTTAACCTGATCTTTAGTCACTTTCAGGACAGACGAATTTTAACATCCGTCCAAATTAATAACTGGGATTTATTAATTGATATTTATTAGTGGTTACATAACTATCATTGAATCATTGATGAGTATCTGCTAAATTTCCTTTTGATTTAATGGTGATATTGATTATTTGAAGGTATGAAGCTGTGACTCTGCCAGAAAACCGGGAGGATGATTTTGGATCAATAGAGCATCAAATTCGGCATTCCAACACAATCAATATGATGGATTTCCAGCATACCTCCTATGCTGCAGTGGTTAATTTTGAAAAACACTTGCTATTTCAAATTTTCAATTGAAAAAAATGTTAATTAAAAACTTACAAAAAATGATTAGTTTTGTTTCATGTTCATTCCATATGTTTCTTGTTGAATGTTGCTCTTGTTTTCACCTTTTATTCATTCACTATTAGCATCATTAGTTAATTTCAGTTATAGAGATCTACTTGATAGCTACTTGGTTAGTTAATTTCAGTTATAGAGATCTACTTTATAGCTACTTGGTTATTGCTGATTATGCTTCAGGACTGACAAATTGTGCATTTTTTTATGCTTGATTGGAAATAAAACTCTACTCCATAATTATTTTTTAAAGACAAATTGCATATTGGATTTAATCTCAATAATACTTTGTTTGTGTAGAGTCTGGATAATGTGGAAAATCCTTACATTAATATCAATCTAGAAGAAGATCCAAGCCATGACTTCCATCAAGGTAAATATAATGAGCCTTGGTAGGATGGTATAGTACTAATACCATGATTATCAATTTTCTTGTTACAATCAGTTTTGATAATCCATGTCCTCCCTCCAGTTGACGCAGATAACATTACCTTACTTGATCGGTTTGACTCATATCGTGAAGATACAGATCTAAACAATCATTTTGAAAGGTGAATTCCATATTCACTTTAGTTAATCTCAACTTTTTAGTTCCCAAATTCTAGAGTTACTTAATTTGTTTCTGTTACAAATGCAACAATAACCCAATTCTCAACAGGGGTTTCTATAGGCTTTAGTTTTACTGAAATAGATTGTGCATTTTCATTCTCACGGTAAAACAGCACTTTTATTTATTACTTATTTTTATTTTAACTTCATGGCAGGTTTGATATTGAAGTAGATGAGACACTGACAAATCTTGCTGATCATGACAATACTCAAATCCCAGATACTCTCATACCATCTCCACCTAAGCACTGTAGACATGAGCAGCAGAATGGTGAGCATCAAAAAACATTTTATGCGTGTGTGTGTGTAAATGCTTTTAGACTAATTTCTTTATATTGGCAGAGAGAATGATTTGTGGTTGAGCATACATCCTTTACAGACTAAATATTTTTCAGTTCTTGCAGCTGATGAGATTCTGGAACAATATCCTGAAGATCTGGCCAATCAGAAATCTGATGAAGGAAAAGGAGATATTCAGGTTTGTTTTCCAACATGAGTAACTAAATAACAGACCTATAAAACAAGAAAAACTCTGCATAGAGTCTGGTAAAATGAAAAACTAAGAGCATTTCTGGTTACTCTTGTATTTGAATATTATACTTAGCAGCCAAAGGACCATATAAGGCCAGTTCCACCTCGACAGAAAGCAAGAAAGCCTAGAGCTTTTACCATGGATAATGATCAGATTATCATCCCTGGTCACATATATCAAACTTGGCTTCAAAATTGTTCAGATATAGTCTCAAGAAGAGGAAGAAAGAGAAAGGTATGCCTCTGGGGTCCAAATGATAAAATCTACTTTTTCAATGCCTTTGGTTCCACACCTTCCACTTGCCTTAAGCATAGTTAGTTTCATTTACAAGATATGTTTCAATAAATAGTAAGAGTAGCAGAAATGGTAAGAATTTATCACAAACAGACATTTTCATATGGAATTTAATTGAACTCTGCTAGGAAATCTCACTCTTCAACTACACATGTCAAATTTTCTATTCTTTCTAGAATTTGGATGCATTTTCAACTATGAAGGTAGCCAGGCTCATGGAGTTGCCTCCTCTTGTGCTAATTGAGAGGCTATTAACAAAAGGGAGTAGAGAAGTTCATTATCCAATGCCTCTTTTAAACCTATGGATGAAAAGTACCCAGCCTCCACACGATTCACCTTCTGGTTAGATAGTCTCATAAATCATTTTTTAGATTCTTATTGCAAACATGAGTCGTAATAGACAAATTCTACTTCATGTGCAGGAAGGACCTCTGGCATCCGACCCCCTGAACCATCATCATCATCTCCATTAGAAAGAAATCCTTTTCCAGATCTTTCAGGAAATGTAAACTAATTTTCCTTTCCAAAAACTTGTTATTAGGTTTTCAGTTATCTTTTTGCCTGATTGAGTATTTTGGTTATGTAGCCCTTTGAGGATTTTCAAAGTGGAGTAGACCCCCAAATGATTGCTTCTAGGGAGAAACAAGTGGATGATTTCAATGAGATACCAGATAATTTCGAGAAGGATCTGAGAAACAATGTTCCAAACATAGACACAGAACTAAGTGACGCTAGAGGAGTAAGCAAACCTACTGTTAATGATCCAATGGCCACACCAGGAGGTTCTGGTATACTAAATTATACTATGTTTGACAATTCTAGCATTAACCTTGGGACTCAGTGAAGTAAATTTAACATTGTTGTGGTCTTCAGGGAATGGAATCAGATCTATCCCTAGCTCAGAATCTGGACATGGCTTCCCATCATCCAATTCTGACCTCAAATTGGGGAGGTTAGTTTTAATTGCGTATTTTTTTTTTAATCTTCTTTTAATCCAGGCAATCATAATTATACTCATTTGAAATATTATGTGATTAATATGTCAATTGAATTCACAATTATTTAGGTCCAACAGGAAGAGGCCCTACTCTTCATCCAGGCATAGCAGCAGTAGCCTTGAACCAGTAGCAGAAAATGGTCCTGAAGTAAACCTTAAAATGAAGAGATTATCTGAACTGTCTGAAACTGGTTTCACACCTGGTAATGGTATACTGATTACGCTTTCTTCATTGACTTGTAACCTTAGTTGTAGTTGTTCTGGTCCAGCATTTCAGTCATAACTTTGTTGTTTTCTTTTTGCAGACTTGATAGAAACTGGACCAACCCAGACACAAAATCCAACTGTTGCCCAGCCTTGTGATAAGATAACTGATTCTATTCGCATGTAAACTAAACTCATGTTTATGTCTTTCTAAAATTCACCAGTTTTAACTATAAACTCAGATTCATTATGTGATCAACTAATTTTTGTTAGTTGCATGATGATGCCCACAGGCAGCTGAAGACTCATTTCAATACACCCGGTTCACCAGAGGTAGAATGTTTGAATGACTTGACTATTGGGATGAGCAGGAAACAGGCAGCATGCATGTTTTATCATACTTGCGGTACGCATATCTCTGTTTCCTCCTTGATAAGGTTCTGAATTCATTATTTTTGCACTAATTCAAATCTGAAGATGAGTTGTGTTGTTTGTACTCAGTTTTTGCCACAGAAGAGTTCATTAGAGTTAAACAGGAGACGGCATATGGAGAAATTTTTATTTCCAGAGGTGCGAAGATGTGACAGTGTTGGGAGATCCTTTGCATCATTCCCAGCTCATATTTACAAATGAAGAATGCTACGGCTACTCTAACTTTTACTCTACATTTATACTTTTGATATAAATATATTTAGTAAGATTCACAGGATAAAAATGTCTTATCATAATTTGTCATTTAAGCAATAAAAGTGGTAAAAGTAATAGAGAGGATTTGAAAATATGTGTAGAAGAACTCTTTACAACCTATTTGGTATTTATTGTTTTAGCCTTTTACTGAAGTTAATCAACTTATTCAGTTTTATTCCTAAAACTTATATATATATATATATATATATATATATATATATATATATATATATTCTCAATCATGCTAGATGATTTTAATAGTTTAATGTTAAATTGCAGTTCTTTCCCACTTTTAAATAATTTATACTGTCCTATCAACATATATATATATATATATATATATATATATATATATTTGAAATTTATTGTTATTTTCTCTAATTCTTATAATTTTAGAGTTCTATTACATGTATTCCCAAATTCTAATACTTTACTTGTACTTCATGACATGACAAACAAATATTGATTATTTTCATCATGTGGGTCCCAAGAAATATGTCTACATCAAGTATTTGTGAGATAGAGTAAGAAATAGGAGTGTAATTTTCCATAATTTTAATTAGATAGGACCACCCTTCAGTTCCAATTCTAAATTTGTCAGTTCACAACTTCACGACTTTGAAAAATGATAAATCAAAACTAAAACCTTTTAGGAAGATTCCAGTCCCGATTTGAATCATATGTTCAAACTTTTTTTTATTCTATTTTTTATTTTTAAATAGTCCAGATTCATCCGTTATTTTTTCAAAAGAATTCTTTTCATTCTGAAATTTTTTAAAATAATTAAATCAAATATTAAAACTAAAAAAAACTAAAACTTTAAAGTCAAATATTTTCTATTTTTTAAATTTTATTTTTTTCACTGATAATTCTAGTTCTCGATTTTAATAACCTGAATTGAAATATTTTTAGTTTTGATTTTGAACCGTAATTGAAATCAGCCCCTACAATTCAAGTTTCGATTAAATTCAAATCGAACTATAATTATACTTAATTCTAACGCACTTTTAAAATAAACTCCGTAATAATAATATAATAAGACTACAATTATAGAGCTTTTTTTTTTTTTTTTTGAGCAAGTCAAGTTTTGTAATATAATTAATTCCAGCAATGGTCCTCCGACTATTGCGATTTTTTAAAATTAGTCTTCGACTTTTAATTTAGACAAAAAAGACACTAGATTTTCTAAATTGTTCCACCAAAGGTCCTTCCGTCCAATAAGCGTTTGTTAGCTGTCAGTTTAAGGGGCAAATTTGTCTATTAATTATATTGCTTTCTTGTTCCTAATTTTCCTCTGCCTCACGCACCGGCGACGCCGCTTCCTCGGTTTCGACCGTGGGCATGTGCCCCTCGAGTAAGGCTATGTGGCTGAACAGTTTATCCTTGCGTGAACAACTGGTTCTGCATGAGCATTTCCATTTGGATATTCCGCAGTGCTTCATATGGCTCTTCAAATCCGCCATTACTGAGAAGCTCTTCTTGTTGCACCTGTTACAGGAGTACATCTTCGGGCAATGGCTTATCTTGAAATGATTCTTCACGCAAATTGCGGACTTGAGGGGCCGGAATTTGTTGTGTGATTTGTTGCGGGAACAACCTAGGAAAGGGGCAGGAGAACATGGCGGGTCGACCCGAGATCGATTCGAAGCATTTTTCTGGCTTCGCTAATGCCTCTGGCGTCTTGAATTGGTTCTTGTGAGCTTGCATGTGCATCCCGAGATTCACGTCTCACTTGAATCCTTTTCCGCATATCTCGCAGAAATGAATATGCTCCGCCAGCAACTCCACCGCGTCTAGCTCGATGATGTCGGAATCCTCGTCGGCACGCTCCTTCGGCGCAAGGAGACCAGTTTCCGAACACAGTAGCTTACTAGATGACGTTTGGTTAGAGCTTTTGGAATTAGTCCGTTTGCGGCTTGAGTGGAGGCGAGAAGTGCAGCGCCGTTGATGATAATCTGGTGGATGACGGCGGTGATCTCGGCTGAGACCCTGTCCGTCTCGTGTTTGCCGAGAAGAGTGTTACTGTTAACTAAGTCGCAAAGGAACTTGTGCAGGGAGTCCACTCGGTCTCGCACGACGGAGAGGTTGAGCAGAGGAAAATTAGGAACAAAAAAGCAATATAATAAATAGACAAATTTGTCCCTTAAACTGACGGTCAACAAACGCTTATTGAACGAATGGACTTATTAGACAAAAGGACCTTTGGTGAATGTCTTTTTCGTCTAAATTAAAAGTAGAAGACCAATTTTAGAAAATGGCAATAATCACGTGACCATGGCTGGAATTAACTTTTTTGTAATACTCCGTAGTAAAAGACAACTCTTTTAAGTTCTAAACCCTCTACAAAAACCTCTCGACCACCTCAGCTGTATCCCATGGCTGCCTCACCGGAGGAAAATGAAACACGGTCGAACCAAGCAGCCGCCGCCAGTGATGAAGAGGACTACAAAGATATCGATGAAGAAGAGGAAGCAGAGGCGGTTAATGAAGGTACTCGGATGCGGATGGACAACCTGTTCCGGCGATTGTCAACGGAACGAGTCCCGTTGCGTGTTCATGATGTGTTGATCAAGGGAAACACCAAGACTAAGGATTCGGTCATCGAGGCCGAGCTCCAAGCCCTCAAGTCTGTCACTTCGTTCCAGAAGTTGCTCCAAGCCGCTAGTATTGCCAATGCTAATCTTCATCGCCTTGGAATTTTCGATTCTGTGAATATTACTCTAGATGCTGGACCGCCGGAGCTCCCCGGGACTGCCAATGTGGTTGTTGAAGTCACTGAAACTGCAAATCCTCTTAGTGGGAACTTTGGGATTTTCTCAAAGCCTGAGGTATTCAACTCAATTTAGTTTTGATCTTTCTCTATGCTGTATTTATCGGGTAATAATTGACATGGACACAGCTTCTTCAAGACTAGAACAATGTACTTGGTGTTATGAAGTTTGATTATACCATTTCAAAATGCTTTTGCTTGGTATATTTGTGAGGGTTAATGACTAAAAACGGAAGACTTTAAATCATATGAGTTTGCTTTACTTTACTTTACTTTTTTCTTTTACCTTAAGTCTGTGTATTAATTTTTCAATATATAAATGTTCTTAAATTATTTTGAATTTCAGTAAAGTTTGTGCCATTTTTTGATAATTATCCCTACTTGTAACTGGTAATTGTTGGTGAAGCTGGTGCTTTAGAATTACTGGAGATTTGAAAAAGGCAATTTCTTGTTGTGTGTATAGTGTATCTGTTCATACATAATAACTCATACAATTCAAAGAGCATAGAAGTAGATTGTGTAGGTCACATATTCATACTTAAAGTATCTGGTTCTGGAAAGCAGAGACTATGAAAATGAGTGGCTTTATGTTAGTTTGACTGATGCATCAGGAAGTGGGGTGGACCAATCTAGTGTGGGTTCCTGGATTACATATTTAAATGAAACGGTTGATGATTATTAGAGGAAGATGATTCATTATTCATATAATGCTGTGGCTATGATTCTATTAATAATAAATACTGATATCATTAATGCTGACATTATGGATATTGACTTCTGAGACATGGAGTTTGTGATACGATTTAGAGGATATATATGGCAAGAACCTGAAACAATCAAACTTTGACTTTTGAGGCTTTAAATTTCAAAGTGCTTGTTTATTTCAAGAGATACATTAGAGAAAATTATTTTCTTATTCTTAGCCATGCCCACCCACTTTATTCATAAAAATAACACATCCTCAACAGTCAACATGTTATACTGTGCACTTGACAATTTGTTATCTGTCAAAAGTGGCTTAATAAACACACAATATTTAGGAGTTCTTTTATGGGATTTTGGAAGGAGTGAGAAGCAGGTGTGTGTGTACATTTGAAATGGGCATCTTCAACTTTCACAATAACAATTTACTCAACAACTAGGAATTGGTTGTCAGTGAGCTCAATTAGCAGCAATGCTTAAGTTTTACTGGAAGAACATCATCAAGTTTTTCATGGCTTAAAATCTCAGCTCCAAGGTTTCTGCTAATTTTGCCAGCGGTCTTCATAGTAAACTGGAAATGGAGAAGAAAAGAGATAGGGAGGGAGTGTGGAACTACACAGATGAAGTTGATATTGATAGTGGCTAGGTGAGGAGAGAGAACATACCTGCTTTGCAGCAGATTAGTGTCTGGAAAAAAACTCCAAACTCTAAGGTCACATAATAAAGAAATGTTATCATTCTGATAAGGTGCACTTTTTAATCTAAAATATGTAGAGTGTAGACCTATGCCAGAATACGGCCTCACTTTAGGTCACTTTGTGTGCAATGGAATTTCCAGTTAATGTACTTCCATTCTATTAAATAATTTCTTCTTAGTGTCTGAATGTGGAAAGGTCAAGAGTACTTTCTTATATATATATTAGATGTTTCTAGTTTCTATCAGCTGATTTGTGCATCAAATGCCTGCTACTTATAATATATCTGCCCATGCTAATATGCTATTATGTATTTATTGGCTCTGGTTCTTTTTCTGTCCAAGATGCTTTCTAATTTACTGCTGCATTATGTGTGAATGGCTTAGCAATTTCCATTTTTTGTGATAATGTTTTATAGTCCTTTTGTAGGCTAGAAGCTGGTCACTTGAAGGCTTATTGAAGTTGAAAAACTTGTTTGGCTATGGTGATATATGGGATGGTTCATTGGCTTATGGCTGGGACCAAACATCAGAGATTAGCACCGGTTTGTCTTTGCCTAGGTTCAAAAGGTTGACTACTCCTGTGACTGCTAGGTTATCTCTTCTCTCTCAAGATTGGTTGAAGTTTTCTTCTTACAAAGAGCGTGCATTAGGTCTTTCCCTTGGCCTATTATCATCCAGAAACCATGAGTTAGAATACAATATCTCTTGGCGAGCTTTAACAGATCCATCACAAATGGCATCTACAACTGTAAGGAGACAGCTTGGACATCGTTTAGTCTCAGCATTGAAGTATACATTTAGAACTGATTTGAGAGATTCACCTTTGAGACCGACCCAAGGATATGCATTTGTTGCTACATCAGAAATTTCTGGCCTTTCACCAGATTATCGAAGCTTACGCTCTATACGTCAGGTTTAGTAACCTTTTATCATGTTCTTTTTCATATAACTTTTCTTATGTGTTGCATCTTTTAAGCATATTGTTAATGAACTTTATTGCATGGATTGATTATAGTATTTTTGCAAGCTATATTCTTAGTATATCATCCTTTCTATGTGTGAAGAACTTTATTGCATAGGTTGTTATAGTATCTGTTGCACAAGCTATATTCTTAGGATAATCTTTCTATTTTTGTAAAGAACTTTATTGCATGAGTATTTGTTGCAAGCTGTATTCTGACTATTTCATCTCTCTATTTTTGTGAAGATTCTTATACACTTTATACAATGTTTCTTTCCTAATACTTCACTACTTTCTAGTAACTCTTCTGTTGTAATGGATTTTCCTACTTCTATCATATCTTACTTCCTACTTTTAAAGTTAGTTACTTTTGGGAGAGATCATTGGGTATTTACCTTGCATCTTTTGCTAGACAAATTATGTATATTATTAACTAAGGTCATGGTTTTGTAAATAGGTCTTTGATCTTCGATATGCTTTACCCTTGGGATTCTACAATGCTGCATTGAACTTTGGAATTTCTGCTGGTGCTGTTCTTCCATGGGGAAATGGATCTCTAAACACGCCCTCGTATCTGCCTCAGAGATTTTTCATGGGTGGCAACTCTTCTCCGGTCTGCTTCTTGGGTGGCCCAACACCTATCTTTGGTTTTAAGTCGAGGGGACTCGGCCCTGCTGAGCCTAGAAGGCAAGTTGGAGAAAGTGCTAATGGTGAAAGTTCTGATAATGCTTCTGGGCTGGATTTTATTGGTGGTGACCTTGCCATTACTGCTTTTACTGATCTTTCTTTCGATCTTCCACTGAAGATATTGAGAGAAGCTGGTATTCATGGCCATGCATTTATTTGTACCGGAAGAACTAACAAATTGTCCGAAAACGCGTTTCGAGATCTCTCTTTTCAGAAATTCCAAGATTCATTTAGATCCTCAGCAGGATTTGGTATCATTATACCAACTAAGCTATTCCGTATGGAGGTTTGTCATCTACCTTACAATCTTTATGTAATATTTTGTTTTGTTTTTTTAAAGTTCAAGTTGGCGAGATGCAAGAACCTGTCATCAGGTGGAGGAAATAATTTCAGAAGGTTATCCATTACTCACCAAAATTATTGTGTTTCCTAATCCAATATTCCTTTCCAAAATTTGAATTTACACAAATGCCCCCTTTCTCCCTGACGAGACACTGAAAATTAAAGGATGATGCATCATTTGCACATATTAAATGGGCAGGACTGTTATTAGATCGATAAACTCGATCTCTGTTTTATAAGCAACTCAATAGGGATTTTTTAAAAAAAAATTCTGATTTTTCATTTTACTTTTCAGGTCAATTATTGCCACATATTGAAACAACAAGAACATGACAGGGCGAAGACCGGTGTGCAGTTTAGCTTTTCTTCATCATTGTAGAAGCTGGAAAATTTTTTGTTTCTTCAATTCAATACAGCTAAATTTGAGCTTAACGCCATCATCTTACCAGTTACCAAAGGTAAATCTTACATACTTTCCCCTCTTCGCAAAATAGATCTAGATTAACGTTTTATTCAAATTAAAGTTTGAATCCCTTTCTATCTCTGGGTGGCATAGGCAGCTTCATATATCATGTTGTACTTCAAAACCTCAAATAGTGCTAGTACTGTGAATAAATTCATTTCACAGATGCAAATTATCTTGAAATTAAAGCAAAACAACATAGTACTAGTCAAATATTCGTATTTTTCTACTACCCCATTTGTGGATACTATGGTATATGCCCTGCTACATTCATTTCATTGATCCATATATTTGTGTCATTTTACTCGTACTGGGAATATGCTCTTAGATTATTGAATATGCTCCTTGTTTATAAACAATGCCGAAATTTCTAAGAGACCTTTGCTTAAATGGAACATTTGATTATAATTCTTTAATAGTGAGATGAACTTATTAGGTATGATGGAAAATTACTTGTAGAATGAACTAAAAAGAATGCTATTACTGGGAATAGTTCTGTTGGAGTAGGTTGGATTATGTATTATTCCGTACTATATAAAATGATATAAACAGTAAACATATAACATTAAAAAAAACATCCTTAGTGACAGATATACTTACCCCTGACGAAATTGGGGCATTTGAGACACCTGTCTTTCCTTAAAGAGGAAACCAAGCGAATACATTATAGAAGAGTGAGACATTAGTATTTGCAAAGACCCATCTAGACCTTTCACTCTGATGTAGTCAATGCCTTGTGTGAAACTTCATTTCATGCTTAGATCAGTTTAGATGGTCCGTAAATTATATTATGGATCAAAATTCATCATGTGTATTGTGGACTCTAATCCAAATTATGTATTTGTCGTTAACCTATTATGTATCTTCGGTTAACAGATTATGTACATGTAAATAAACTGAAGATACATAATATGTTAACTGTTGATATATAATACGTTAACTGCAACATGTATATAATATGTTAATTAAAGGTACATAGTCTGGATAGGGTCCGTAATATGTATCTAATACTTATAAAGGACATTGTAATAGTTTTGGTAAAAAAATAATATTTTTCCATCAAAATATAAAAGTATTATATTTTTCTTCAAAAGTATTATGTTTTTCCTTATAAGTAACAAACATTTTATTTATGATTTAATTTTACATTTGCTAGTATAAGTATTACATTTCATCTTGACCCGACCTGTCTCACAGATAAGGATTTGTGAGACAGTCTTACACAAGTTTTTGCCATCCGGATAACGATTACAACCACTTACAAATTTGGTCCATGTCGTTAAGCTTTAGTTAAAAACCTTAAAGGTTAAAATAAATCTTGCTATGGTCACAATTGAGACACTAAAAAATGCCCTTTTTTATGTTACTGTATCATATTATAACTTAATATTCAATACTTAACTATAGGTAAATTTTTGTACTAAATTGCAAACTTTTAGGCGCTATTACAAATGGACAGAGTTTATCCAGTGCACACTTTCAAATAGTGATTACGAATTTTCTCGTTTTCAAAAAACTATAATTATCCAACTTTCAAGTGTCTGTTGAATTTTATTAACAAATGGGGCAATAAATAACAAAAATTAATGGGCAGATGGGACATGGAAGGTGAGATGTCATTCACATGGGACACAGAAAAATGCTTGACAAGGAGACGAACAATACCTTTAATACAATTATTAAATTAAAAATAATTAATTATGACACTAAACCCATCCATGCACACGTTAGATCAGAAAATGAAGCATTTAAATAATATTATCTGTCTATATTATCCTTAATTAATCATATGTTCAGTGAAGCATATTTAGGTTTCAATGCAAGTCCATCGGCCGTTGGATTTCAACAAACCTTCTGTCAATCAACGGTGCCCGACAATTCGGTTAATTAAGTCAAGCTTTATTTGGAGTATATATTTTGACCCTGAGAATAAGTTGGCATAAAATGTCTAATTCTATATTGTAGCAGTTGAGAACTTGAGATCCTCTTGTCTAATATAATACCCATTTTTTAAAAATAAATATATTTATTTGGAATTATTTTAAACAGCAATAAATAAATAGCATATAAAACTCATTGCGACATACCCAATACGTTCAGTAAATAAGACTTAAACACCGCATTCAAAAAATACTCTTATAGTGAAACTAATTTGAAGTCCGGACTTTAAAATATGAAGTTAGGTGGCAAGAAAATAAGAAACGAGGACACAATACATAAGGAAAGGCTGGAAAAATGTCTAAATTTACAAAATACACTGCTGAAAATTATGGAATTTCCGATCACCTGAAAGTGATCTTAAATCAAGTTGAAATCAAAAAGTGGTCGGAAATAGCAACAAAGGTTTTTCCGGATACCAAAAGTGGTCGGAACAAGGCTTTAGACTTGATTTAAGATCACTTTCAGGTGGTCGGAAATTTCATAATTTCCAACAGCGATATGAGAGTGTTTGAATTTTGAAAGTATTTTTCCTTAAATACGTGTAAATATTAATTGTTTACTAGCTATAGCTACTTTTAGAAAATGTGTTTTGAAGTCTTTTAATTAGGGAACTAACTTGAAATGTTTTAGGGGAATGTTCATAAGTTCTTTGGGAGAAAATGCATGTGTTTGAGATGTTTAAATGCTCACCTTTAATAAAAGTTTCTATGTTGAACAAAAACTTTCAACGATTAGCATTCCTGAAACATTTTTTTCCCATAAATTTGTGGAAATTTTATGAAATGCTTCAAAATCTGTTCAATAAAAAGAAACTACTCCGTAATATACAATTAGTATTCATGTATAGTTAAAGAAAAATATCGGCAAAATACACCCGGCATTTTTCTAAACTTGAATATATATACAACCAAGCATATCATCTATGAGTATGCATGATCAGTGGCCATGCATACATCCATCATGCAATCATGCATGGTTATGACTGATTATGACCATGACCATATATGACCATGCATGTACACCAATCATGTTAAGATCCTCTCCAAATTTCTTTATTTTTCTTCATGCATGCACATTCATTTTACATATATACATACACGTGTGTGTGGTGTGTGTGAGAGAGAAAAGACTTCAGGTGCGAAAGTGATTAGAAATATGAGCCTTTGATCTGTCCAGATCATCAACGATTCAAAAAAAAAAAAGTGCTTCTAATCTACACAATGTCATCTTCTCTAGTAAATCATCTTTGATCTATTGTCTTTGCATTTTGTTCAAATCATGGAAGACACCAAATTGTCTCCTGGAAAGCACAACAGTGTACACAGGAAAGCACAACAATATGCTCTGGAAGGCTCAACAATGTGTACTCCAAGACAAAACAATATGCACTTTGAAAGTACAACAATGTACTTTGGAAGGCTCAACAATGTGTACTCTAAAGCAAAATAATATTTTGCATTTCGAAGGCATAACAATGTGCTTTGGGAGGCACACAATATGCTCTGGAAGACACATCAGTGTGCTCTGGAGGCACATCAGTGTGTTCTGTAAGGCACAACATTATACTCTGAAGGGTACAATATTGTGCTCTGCAAGAAGGAAAAAAATGCTTTGAAAGACAAAAAAATTAACTTACACAAAATTATCATATGTCACCACATTTTTTTTTTAAAAAAAATAACTTCATTCTGGATCCTTGATCTTGACTGAATCGATAAATGAGATTAAACCTTATTTTTCATCTATGAAAAACAATCATCGAATCATGACGATGATTGTTACATAAGTATAAAGAAATAAAGTTACAATTTCGTTACTAGTTATAATTTTTAGCATACTAATAAATGTTTAATTTTATGTTGAAAATATTGGTATGGGGGGTATATAGCTGCTGTAACAATAAAGAAAGGGAAAAGGACAGACATGCTTCTCATGCTCCAAGGGAGGAGAAAGATTGATCCGCATTAATAGCTTTCACGATTTTTTTAAAATTATTTTATATAAAAAAAAAATGCATATATATGCATGGTTGGGGCATTATTAATATTATTAGAAAAATAATTAAGAGAAGAAAACATGTGTGGTGTTGGAAGTTGACTTTACAGCTTGAATTTTGGGTTATTTTTAATGTATATCTTGAAGACCAACGAACCTCCCTGCTTGCATCCCTTTTTATAGTCTTCACAAGCCCCTTTCCACCTTACCAAAACTTTTCACCCACACATATATACAATACACTTCAATAAATTCATTTTGGAAAACTTTTCTTTGGCTATTAGAGAATTTATTGCCCTACCAAAACCAATTTTTAATGATCTCTTTTTCTTCCATACATTGTATGTTGGTGGTTAACTTTTGTCTGTCACCCACCGTTTATTTTTTATTTATCTTATCTTGTAACACGGTACAACATATTGAAAATGATCAATAGCAGTGTACGATAAAACACGGCATTAGGTGCCGAGTAAAAAATAAACTGTGGGTACCAGAATGGCGGCAAAAGTTAGCGATGAACCAAAACTGTACGCAGTTGGCTACATTGAGGACTAATTTTGCAATTGCAATTATCAGAGACTAAAATGAATAAATTGCATTTTTTTTTCCAAAAAATAAGAAAAGAATTAGAATTAATACAAGTGCATAATATCAAAAGAAGGGTTGTGGTATAAATTAAATACAAGAGAGTGAGAGACTAATTAAAATACCTTGAAGAAAGAGACTTTTTTATGCCAGTAGGTTTGGCAAATACTTTTGGTATAATTAAAGGACCATTATCTTATCATTAAATTACAAATAAATAAATATCGACTCGTTACATTGAATTTCTTAACATTTTTATGTACGGGAGAGTTGGTGAAATCCACTGCAAGATTTAATTTCATCAAATCCAAGATCGAGTAAAGGTAAGAATGAATATATAACCTACTTCTCTTCTCCATTATTTTTAACCCCCCCCCCCCCCCCCCCCCAAAAAAAAAAAAAAAAATCTTTCATAATATTTATTCACAATTAATAATTTTTTACTAACTTTATTTCAATATTAATTTGTGTAAGGTAGAGAGTATAATTGGTACCACAACGTTAGGAAATTGTCTCAATCACACGATTGTGTTAGGAGGGGAGTGGGAATCCAATCTCTTTCCAGGCCAACATATACAATTATCATCACAAGAACACATTTAACTTTTTGGCTTTGGACGGCTGTGAGTTTATCTGCTCGTCTTATCATTCACGAGATAATTAAAAACTTTTTTTTTTTACTTTTTGGGGGTGAATTTTCAGCCGATAAATTCAGTAAGACACTTCGCACGAGCAAAGAATATTTATTTCTCATGCATAATGGTAGAGAAATGAAAGCACCCAAAGTTGTTATAATGGCAGCTGACCTTTTTAGGTCAAGGTAATGCATGCACCGGTTTTGATACTTTATTCAATTCGTCTCATTTTATGTGTTTGATTTAATTAACAAGACTTGATTGATTTACAATTTGATTTTCTGTAATGTTTAATTTAGTGTTAGTATATAGCGTTTAAGAAAAGTTTACGATATTAATCAGTATCAGTGTCTTTTATACCAGGTACGTATAATAGGAAATTTGTCAACACCCTCTTGGTTGAGTCCGTTGCACGAGTCTTTTTAGTGTAATTTATGATGACTCCCGTGTGGTTTGCATGCTATTACATAGGATCAAGGAAAGTTCAATTTACCTCTCCAAAAATTGTAGGGAGAATGTCCACATTGCATCCAATATGCCGGTATAAATCCCAAAATTGTTCTTCTCCCAAAAGGTTGAATCCCAAACCTCAAGGGCCCCCACACCCCAGTCCGACAGAGCATTTGGGAGGATGTAAATTACGTGTATAAAGGATATGCTCACTTTGGGCATAATTCCCACACTGTCACTGCTGATGTTTAAATCTAGTCTTTTCTTTCAAATACTGTCTATGGACCAGTGAGCTAAGCTTGTACATGTAAATTCCAAAGTTTTTACATTCACTTTTGGTTGTACCTGGTATGATTGATACTTTAAAAATTTTCATAGAAATTATATCTTTTGAAAGTGTATATAAAATATTATTAAATTTACAAGGTAAAAAAAAAAAAGAAAAAACTTAGTTCAAACCGTAAAACAATGACATAAGAATACATATTGATAGTTCAGAACTCTTTATTTATTAGTTATATGTGAATGATTAACTCCATATATAATACTTCGTAATAAGTACAAAAGAGTTTATATGATAATTAAATGTAAATACAAATTCTATAAAACAATGTCATAAGAACGTACAAGAAATTAAAAGGTACTGTAATTTTAAGGAAAAAAAAAAAGTATATTTGTAACTGTACGTCGTACATTTGGTTACCCATCCGACAAAATCTTTAACGATAGATAAGAATCAGATGGTGTGTTTTGTCCGTAACATTTTTGTTGTGATTAACAGTAGTACATGTCTGTTGTCACCCACACAATGTATATAATGTCGTTTTTTTTTTTTTTTTTTTTTGGGTATTTTATTATGACATTTTGTGATATGTAACGTCACAATAAAGACTAATACGGAATATTTCTAAAACTTTATTTTATACTTTCTATTAATGTGATGTGCTCTGATTTATCAAGAAAAAAGAGTGGCTCATATATAATTTTATTATCTTTATTCTTTTTATCAATAAATTTTGAGTTTGAAATTGATGTAAAATGCATTAGTATTGATCGACATCTTTGATGGTGGCAATGCGTGCATATACCTTTACACCATTTTATTTTATTTTATAGATGACAAGAAAAATTCGTCATTACTATTTGAGAGTGTGTGCTAAATAAATTTCACTCATACGTAATTACTTGCATATCACACAACAAAGTTAAACTACATTAGAAAAAAATTTATTTTATTTTACTCTTTATTAACGTAACACACATCATATCAAATGGTTTTTAATTTTTTTTTTTTTAATAAAATCAGAATATACCTCGATAGTAATATATCATAAGAATATAATTAAAATTTTCTAGGAACTATATGTGGCGTGAGGAAGAAGAATAAGAAAAAACATTATTGTCTGAATAATAAAACTGTCAGATCAGATGACACAAGTCAATTATTAGCAAGATACCCGCTACGTACAATATATATACACCTAAAATAAATAAATAAATAGACATAATTTTTTTACGTTAAATAAAAAATATAATATTTTAATCTGAAAATTGGTGTGGATATGCATGGTGGACACTGCCAACGTTAACCGATTTCTTTAGTAAATAATCCACTGTGCAAGTAGCAGAAATTAAATAATACTCAATAATTAATAATTAATTAAACAGTAATTGGAATCTTGATCTAATTTGGGATGCATTCAAGAGACAGTGAGATTGTTCTACAGTACAACTCTTTCTGGTCTAGCTATATATGTACGTATTAATAGATCCAAAAAAGTTCACTAACAACCCTAGCTAGCAACTTTGACCTCAAATCCCAAAAGATTAATTATTCATTTGATTTAATTAATTAACTCTTGACTATAATGGTTTACTTTCAAATTTAATTATTTGTTGCTAATTTTGTTTCAACTCTAAAAAATCTTTAAAAAATAAAAATGTATTTCGTGAATTACCATCCCTCGTTACCTATTCATTTTTTGATGACATCATTAAAATTATATTAAATACAATTCAATAGTTCAATAAATTTGTGAATAATGTTAATCGGGGTTGCTAGGTTAAAGTGGAATATGTTTACCAGGATTAAAATTAGGTGACAGACTATTTGACCAAATTAATCAGAGCTAATCAGTATGAGATTATTGTTATCGACAAACCTATAGGTAGTATAGGGTTGTGCTTCTTTTTGCTCTCCCCTTGATCCAAAAAAAAAAAAAAAAAAAAGAAGAAGAAAAAACTGTGAATAATAATGTTATGTAAACATCAAATTGTCCGTATGGACAGCTCAATTGGTCATAGAGGTGAAGTTTGAAAATAATGTAAATATACAAACTACATAATCACATAATTACGTGAGTAATTGATAACCAAACTAATAATTAACTCTTAGTACCATATACATATACTATATGTACCACCCTAGCTAGGAAGGAAAGGATTAGTTTGGAGAGTGGTTAAAATCTATAATTGAGAGGCATATGTAAGATGAAAACATAATTTCATCTTCTGCAATATTGTGATTAGGTAATAATTTTATTAATTAAGAAAAACAAGTCCTTTGACCAGTAAAAGGCTAGGGTTTTGAACAACTTCAAACCCACAGGCCACAACATAATAATATATATATTCTCTATAAAAATAACCATAAAAATGAACAAGAATATACCATTTACTTACCCAATTTGACTAGAATTTCCCAGATCAAATCCAATATTTCTCTTACAAAATTCTTAAGTATTATACAGAGAAAGTGAGGTATATCTCAATCGTATTAATTATAATCCACACATGAACATACAAATTATGCATTCTTAAATAAATAGAAAAGGGACCCGCATGGCTAGCTCAACTAGTTCGACCAATCATGCAAGCAGTAATATACCGTTCGAATCACAACCTGGGATCATTAAGTTAGACCTTGACCGATTGAACTCCTTGTACACAGAATGTACAGACATGGGTGAGAACTTATTGACTGATGGAGCAACTTGAGATTTTTTACCAATTATGCAAGCGGCAATATGGGATCGTTTGATCCCACTAGAATTTTGGAGTCACCTTGACTGACAAGGGTGAGAACTTAGGGACTGACAGGAACAATTCGAGATTTTTTTTAGGCTTATGATTAGTCTGGCTTGAGTTGGGATACCTAATGTAATTTTAAAAAACAAAAATAGAATAGGGAAAGGGGGGAGGGGGGAGGAGAGAGAGAGAGGGGTTGTGTTTATATGCTCATTTCATGCCTAATTTTAGCAACTTTTTGGCAAGAAGAAAGTTGTGCAATCTTCCCAAGAAACAGCTTTTTCCAAGCTCCAAACTTCAGTTTACACTGAGAAGAAAAGTCCAAATATAGCTTTAAACCCTCATCATATCCCAAATCTTCAAAGCCCTTTATATTCACAAGCAAGCTAAGCAAAACTAGTGGAGATCAAAGGAGATGAAAGGGGGGATTAGTTGCAGCCCGGAAGAGTTGTCCAAGAAAAGCCCTGAAACCCAGATCGAAGAAGATCTAAAGGAAGAAGAAGAAGAAGAAGAAGATGATGAAGAAGAAGAAGGAATTAGCGAGAAAGGCAAGGGCAATAATGGAAGCAGCTCGAGCAACAGCACCGTGGAAGAAGACGGAAAGAAGGCCGGAAACTCTTCTGGGTCAGTAAGGCAATACGTCCGCTCCAAAACGCCCCGCCTCCGGTGGACGCCGGACCTCCATCTTTGCTTCGTTCACGCCGTTGAAACCCTTGGAGGACAAGATAGTATGTGCTCTCTCAATCTTCTTTTCATTTCTGCACTTATTGTTTTCCCCTCCTTTCCATCTCGCCACTACCCGAGGGTAATAAACTCCAACTTGTGATCTTGCCGACAAAGAATCAGGTAATTAATATAAGTTGTCCATAGCTGATCAGTTCATACCAGAAAGACAGGATTTGAATTCAATCCGTGATGACCGGCCTTGTGGTTACAAATCTATATCATATCCTTAGCAATCTTGACGGGTTACCCACATATTATTGTTTCTTGATTTGCGACGATGATGTTTGATGTTGATGATGATCTTGTTTGTCTTATGTTGTTTGTGCTTCAGGGGCAACACCTAAGTTGGTTCTTCAACTGATGAACATTAAAGGCCTTAGCATAGCCCATGTCAAGAGCCACCTCCAGGTAGTTTTTTTTTTTTTTTTTTTTTCTTAATCTAATAATTCAGTTTATTTTGTTATAATAATCTTATGTTATGGATGGTTCTGATGATTTTGTTGGATTATCAGATGTATAGAAGCAAGAAGATGGATGACCTTAATCAAGGTAAGTAATTGTTGGATCTATTATATTGTTTCAATTTCACATCCATCCCAAAACTAGGGTTCTCTCCCTCTCTTTCTCTCTCCATATGTATAGTATACACATATACATATATATGGAATTGTAGTTGTTTGGGTCGGATCCATATATCATCATAAATTCATGTATAGTCTGAGATGAGAACATTTGGTATGTAGCAGTTACTTCTTCTAATGGAAGGCTGCTTCTTGATAATGGAGATCATCACCATATCTTTAACTTCGGCCACCTCCAAAGGCTACAAGGATTTAACCAAACAACTAATCCCACTGTAAGGTATGCATTTTCTATGTTCTTAGTTCGATCTTACCTTAATTAGGTCTATAATTATGAGTCCCTGCATTTTTCAGGATGAGACTTTTGAAACTCGATCTTACTTTAATTAGGTCGAGGATGAATCCTTGAATTTTTAGGGATTTTTGAAGCTCGAATCTTACCTTGAATCCCTAGCTCCACTTATCAAAAACAATTCATCAAGGGATCGAGCTTGATTTGTTGTTGACAACAATTTCAATTTCGATCTTGGTTTTCTTAATTTTTTATTTTTGATTTGTGTTTTTAGGTTCCAAGATGCTTTAAGGAGTCATCATCAAGCGAATGCGATCTACAATCCTTATATCAATGGCGGAGCTTCAAGTATGATCAGACATGGCTTACATGGGCCGGCGGGTGAGAGGATTTTTGGGGGAAACATTTACGGATCGCACAATAACAACAACAACGTTAATAGTAATCATCATAGTCATAATAATCCTCTCAGTTCTGATTATTTCCGGACGGCGGCGGCGATTTCCCGGCAATCTGCGGCGGCGTGCAAAAACATGGAGAATGAGAAGCTCCATCAGCCTCACTTCTTCCCAGCTCAAAGGGTTTTGGGTTCTCATCAATTTGGAAGCTCTCCGGCGAACCAGATTCTCCTAAAGAAATTGCAGTTAGACAGAGGGAGAGATCCTCCTGCGGTGGCGCCGCCGCCGCAGACGACTCGGAACATTCTAGAAGAATGTGTCGGGGTTTTCCGGCCGGACGGAGCGGACCACTGCCCTGCCGCCGCGGCGGCGGCGGCTGAAGAAACATACACATTGAAAAGGAAAAGTTTGCCAGATTCTTCATGCGATCATCAAGTGAATCTTGATTTGAGTCTATCGTTAAGGACGAGGAACGAGAATGATCAAAAAAGACTGAAACTCGACGAGGAAGATGCCGGAGAGTACGACGTCGGTGGCGTTGATACCACCGATTTGTCTCTCTCACTGTTCTCCTCCTCGTCGGAAAAACATCATGGGACGACAAAGCAGCCGACAAGAATCGAAAACAGCGGACTACATCTCTCTTTGTGATCAATCATATCGTCAAAATATATGAATCTATTGTACGTTCTGAGTGAGATTTGGATGCAGTGCCTTATTAATCAGAATTGATTAATATAATGCCCAAATTTCCTATCTTTGTCAGTGTTCATGTGCAACATATATAATTAAGGTAAACAAACTCCAATCCTAATTGTCTTCTTCTTCCTGCAATTTCAATGCATAAACTATACACCCAAATATAATATTATTTCTAAAACAAATTATTTTTTAGTAATGAGGAAAAAACTTGCACGGGATAAATTCCGAATTATTTTGTGATCTAGTTGACAAAGGACTAGAATGAGGTAAATCAGTCTAGGTTAGCTGATCCTCTCAAACTAAGAAGGTTAATTGACCGCTCTTATTGCAGCCAAGTGAATAACCTGATCAACTTGGTTAGGGTTGTAATGTACATCATTTTATAAGCTCCATGCATGTATGCATTGGGATTAAACACAAGAACAAAGAAAGCTTAACAATAATGCTAAAATTATATATAGTATTAGATGGTAAGATATGTCAGCAATCATGTATGGAACGTATATATATATAGTATGCAGCTTTAATGGTTAGCAGTTTACTAGTACTACTAAACTAACCCAGGAAGTAAGTCGATATAGAAGGTGAGAAATTGACTGCGAATTCCTGCCTTGTAGGTTTTTGGGTATAACAAACATGCCTCAGATTAGGTACGTAAAAATTCAAAAAAAATAAAAATTATTGCATATTATCGTAGGTCTGGGGTGGTGAAAACGATTAAAATGCGACCACTTATAACAATTCTGTACCGAATCTCTGTTATTGCATGTGGATAGAAAGTTCATAGTGTAAAGTGTTGCGTCCAACATTCTGGATTTTGGGGAGGGACACAGACAGATGTCTGGTTGGGTACATACACACGTAACAGGTTTTAGTGATATGTGGGAAAGGCTAGTGTAAACATCAAAACCCTAACTCGTATATATATATATATATATATATATATATATATATATATATATATATATATATATATATATATATATATATATATATAAGATCATATGAGAACACCGGCTTAGGTGAGAACATGAGAACAAATCGTGTGCATCCTTCTAATATTTTTTAATAGTCTAGATTAGATTAAGGGGTGTGTATTCAATCATGACTTTTGTAGAGTTTTAAAGACTTTTAAAATGATAGATTTTAATAAACTTTGATTGACTTTCATAGAGTCATTCAAAACTTTTTAAAACTTTATAAGACTCTATAAAAGTCTATATAAAAAACATTCAGACTTTTATCAACTTTTTATTTTAAAAAGTCTACAAAAGTTGTTGAAATTCTAAATTGAATACATCCTTACAAACTTTCAATGGTTTTGATTCTTATCATTTATATAATTTTCTTACAAAACAATTTTAATATATCATAAAATTTTCTTATTATATAGTTCTTCACCCACATCAACACTCTCAACATTATTATTTTTATCCATAGTATGTTGAGACTTATATGCTAATTACTTATATATATTATTAAAAAGCATCAAAAAAATTATTTCATTAGAAATTTATAACAATATTGAATAATAAAATTTATAATAAAAGAGTTGATCAAATAAAATATTTAAAAATATAATTACAAGTTGCATAAAAAAATAAATCTAATATTTATAATATATATATATATATATATATATATATATATATATATATAATTATACTTGATATATTGCTAGACATCATGCAAAGAACTATTATTTGCAATATATAAGACTTTGGAGAATTAGAGAAAGTTAGGGATAAAAAATTAATAGATCGAAAAAATAAAAATCAATATAAACAAATAATAATGAAGTAAAAATAATATTATTTCAAATTTTTAGAGAAAGATTGTAAAGTTTAGGAGAGAGAAAAATTGGTAAAGTTTAGGTATGAGGAAAATATAGGATAATGAAGAAAAAAATAATTTTATTAAATTTAGATAGGTTTATAAAGTTTAAATATGAAGAAAAAATAGAGTTTAAATAGAGAGAGACAACATTCAAAGTTGTTAGAAAGAAAATTTTGAAATCTTGGGGTTGATGGTTGGATTTCAACTATTTATATTTGAGAAGGAAAAGTCTACAAAAGTCTTAAAATTAAAAAGTCTACAAAAGTTCATAACTTTTTGAATACCACATGACTTTTAAAGACTCTCTAAAAGTCTTAATCGAATACCACACGACTTTTAAAGACTCTTTAAAAATCTTGATTGAATACCGCTTGACTTTTAAAGACTCTCTAAAAGTTTGAATTGAATACCCCCAAACTCTTAAAGTTCATAAAAGTCTTTAAATAAATTTAAATTTAAATTTAAATTAAAAAAAAAATCTTCGTTTCCGTCGGAGACGAGGGGTGGCTTCGTCTTGGGCCATCTCCCCGGCCATGGAGACGGCCTGAGAATTGCCTGCCACTTCGTCTCCGGCGAAGACGAAGTGGTAGCTTCAATTCGTCTTGGGCCGTCCCCCCGGCTATGGAGACAGCCTGAGACAAAGCAACTTTCGTCTCAGGCCGTTTCCCCGGCTAGGGAGACGGCCTGAGACGACGTAGGTTTTTTTTTTTTTTTTTTTTTTTTAAATTTAAAATTATTAAAAAAATATATTTTAAAATTTGGTAACCGTCTCTCCAGGTAAACATGTCATTTTTGGATTGAATTGCATGAGTTTGCGTTGTTTAGGGACACAATTGCATTCTTTTTTAGTTCGATGACCTAATTGCAATTGAGTGCGCAGTTGAGTGGCCTATTTGACTCTTATTTCAATCGACAATAATTACAATTATGCCACCGTATTTTTTAAATTTATTATGATTCGTTCGATTTTTATAGATGTAAGGTTGAGATTGAATTGTGCTTTTCTTCTAGAGACATGTTCTCTTGGGCGTGTGAAAACACACACACACAACGATGGATCTCAGCTCGTGAGAACGCCTGTCCAGGTAAAAATTACAAACTTATCTTAGCCATTGATCTAGGGAAGATCAACATATAAAGCAGGGATTTTAAAAAAAAGCGATATTTTGTAAATATTTTAAAGAGTAATTCCAAGAATGGTCCCTTGACTATTCACATTTTCTAATTTTTATCCCCGATTTTCAATTGGAGCATGAATGGTCCTTTGATTATTGACTTACCAATTTTCATCATTGACTTTCAATTTGACCATAAATGGTCTCATGACTATTGATTTTGTTCCAAGTTTGGTCCTCTAGTTAAACATCTATTTAGTAAACATTAAATTTAAGGATAATAATGTAACATTTTGGTTCATCATATGTCCACTAATGGTGAACCCAATGTATTAAGTTTATGAACCCAACTTTCTAATCTCAACAAGAAGTCAATTTTTGCATTATTACAGTTAAATATAATATTCACTAATAAATGGACATTTAACTAGTAAACCAAATTTGGAACAAAATAAATAGTTAAGGGACCATTTATAGTCAAATTGAGAGTCGATGGTGAAAACTGGGATGGCAAATATTAATAGTCAAGGGATCATTTATGGTCCAATTGAAACTCAAGGATAAAAATTGATAAATGTCATTAGTCAATGGACCATTCCTGAAATTGACTCTATTTTAAACTTTAAAAATATATATCATGCATAACTACAAAGTGCATCCAATGATATGTAAAAGTGCACTCAAGAGAAATGTGTTTCACATATTTTTGAGGGCACATTATTTATTAATTATTGCATTTTGTAGTGTTGATCAGTACATACACTTTATACCAATGCACTTCAAAATTTGGAGTGCATTCAAGAGAATGCACTTCAAAATTTGGAGTGCATTTAAGAGAATGCACTTCACGTATGCATGTTAGGCTCTAGTATGATTGCACATTTATGTATAATATTGTGCAATTTGTTCTTAAATAATCATAATTGCCCATAATAAAAATTACTTCTGGTAACCAAAAGATTTTATCGCATTTGTGTAATATAAGTGGAAGGGGTTTGAGTAAACAACACATTGGAATAACTCTTTTTATCGGGATCTAAATCGATACTCAATTGGATTAGTTTCATCGCATTGAGTGTGAATACCAATATGTACTGCGAATACGAAATAATGCGATTGCGAAGAGAGAAACGCCATTAACGACAAATAAATAACAATTTTTTAAAAATTAGAACAGCGTCGTTTTCGTTGAAAACGACACCGTTTTGGAACTATGCCCACCTTGCAAGGTGGGCACGATTCCACAGCATAATTTTCCCCATGGACCCAGTCGTTATATCGTGCACCGCGGTGCATAATCGATTATGCCCCGCGCATCAAAACGGCGTCGTTTCTGCAGTTATAACGGAGTGACACTACAGTGTATCTAAACCGACACTGTCTCATGTATTATTTTTATATTATCAAATGAAACTGCAGTTATATCAAAATGATACTGTAGTTGTGGTGAAATGAAACTACAGTATATATAAAATGAAACTGAATAACATTTCACATATTTGAGTGAGTGTATATTGTACAATGAAGCTGTAATTATATTGAAAAATGATCATGTAGTTGTGTTTTAATGAAACTATAGTGTATATAAAATAAAATAAAATGACATTTTCACATATTTGAGTGTATAAATATTGAATGAAACTGTAGTTATATTGAAATGAAACTGTAGTTGTGTTGAACTGAAACTGCAGTGTATACAAAATGAAACTGAAGAAAAGAATTATTTTTTGCGAAGATTCTGTTTCTTTTCATTAAATAAAACGATGTCGTTTTGATACGTGGTGCATAATCGATTATGAACTGCGGTGCACGATATAATTTGCCCCATGGACCTTTCTGGGCTTTCGTTCATGGGTCCTATATATAGATGTAATCAAATGGGCTTACATATTGGGCCTATCATTCTCATCCATTATTAAATCAAGAAAACTTGTTCTTCATATTTATGTGTTTATTCCCATTAAAAATACAGAAGAAAAAAATCCCATTAATTAACAATAGATATTTTCCCAATTCTTTTTTTTTTTTTTTACTACTGGGAAAAATTAACCCAAAAAGGGAGAGAGAACACGTAATGTAATGGGGGTATTTGGAACGAAAATACTACATGTATTCCTAATTTCTAATCCACACACAAAATTTTGATGTAGACATTTAGTATTGGGATCCACGTGAAAAAAG